CTTGCCCATCCTGTCAAAAAAATAGGGTTTGGGCTGGGAACAGGAGTTAACCCACGGGGCCTATCACCTTTGCAATTATGGCAAATTGATGTTACTCACATAGCAGAATTTGGTAGGTTAAAATATGTACACGTTGTTATTGATACCTTCTCCATGGCTATTTGGGCTACAGCTCAAGCTGGAGAGACAGCTAAACATGTTGAAAAACATTTATATAGTTTCTTTTGCTGTACTTGGGGTGCCAAGAAAGATCAAAACAGACAATGATCCAGCATATATTTCTGGATGCTTCTAACGCTTCTGTGTCTTATGGGGCATCAAACACTGCACAGGAATTCCACACTCTCCCACTGGACAAGCAATTATCGAACGGGCTCATCAAACTCTGAAGCAAATGCTTCAAAAACAAAAAGGGAGACTGTCAGGTGTGATGCCAGCTGAACAGTTAAACAAAGTTTTATGTGTTTTAAATTTTTTGAGGCTTTTGAGGAGAATGTCAGGAACCAGCAATGATGATTCACAGTTTAGCAATGAAGGGTGATGCTGAACAATTTATGGGCACACAGCAACCGCTAGTTATGTTCAAAAACTTAAATACTGGGCAATGGGAAGGACTTGTTAAAGCACAATTAACAGGCAGAGGTTATATGTGTTTGCTTACAAATCATGGCTTATGATGGGTTCCATCTTGCTGGGTGGGGCCTTGGAAAGAAGGTCAAGCTCACAATCCTAAGCTTTGCAATGGTTCTGACGGTGATTAATGCTCATACATTGTGAACGTGTTTAGAAATCCCTTCCAAACCAGTAGGGGCCCAAGTTACATAGGAAAGTTAACTATGTTCACAGCATAGTTGAAGTTGTTGTTACAAGGGGGAATTGTTGTAATTGTTATGTTTGTCATTATTTTGCCATGCTTAGTTTGTTGTATTAAACAGTCATTCAAAAAAGCCTGTAAGGAATGTGGATTGCTCAAAAACAAAAAGAAGGATATGTTGGGAGATAATGGACATGTGAGCAATCCTGCACATGTGCATGCCTCGGCAAGGACATGACAAGGACATAGCCCTGAAGAGAGAACAAACAACTCAGCAAACAAACAACTCCAGGAGATGGGTTGGGTGGAGAAAGACATTGAGTGTGGCGCTTATTATCCAATCTCAAGAAAGCTTGAAACACGTGGACAAAGCTAACTATCCAATCATAAGGACTGTACCACGTACCGTTCGTGGGCACAGGAGAAAGCATTATAAAAGGGCTTGTTTACCTTCAGTAAATGGACATTGCTTGATCATATTGGTTGTGTGCATGTCCATATCTCCCGCAATTTGTGTTACCCATTTGAGTCAAATTGAGTCTGTTAAACTGGTATATCTAATTGGCCTATCCTTCTAATCTTGTAAGTCGGTTTTATAATCATGTAAAAGTTAAATTGCATAAAATTTTAAAAGTCTACACAATAAAGACTGGGTAGATGTTAATATCTGTCACCCAAGAGATATAGCAAAAATCACTAAGAGGAAGAGAATTGCAATAAGTTGTTAATAGAAGGAAGGTGAATAACACTGAGCTGTCTCATCAGGGAATGGTTTTTATTGGACACACAGAAAGATCTGGGAAACTAGAGGCTAGTCAGCCTAACTTCATTCCAGCAAGTTCATGGCTAATAAAAAGATGAAGAAGGAGCAGTCAGTCTACTTCAAAGACAGACTGTTATTTAGAGGGACTGCAAGAGCATGGAGAAAAGGGATGACAAAAAAAAAAAAAAAAAAAAAAAAAAAAAAGAGCAAAATCCTGTGCCTGAGATGGAGTAATGCCAAGGAAGAAAATCTTTGAGCTCCTGCTCATCAGGAGGTTGAATATCAGGTCTGCCCTCATGTCAAGACCAACAGCATACTGAGCTATATTGGCACCAGTGTGGCCAGTGGTTGAGGGAGGAGTTTCTTCCAACAATATTCATCACACTTGAGGCTACATCTGGAGTACCCTGTCCAGTTTTGGGCTCCCCTGTGTCAGGCAGGCCTTTTCCAACCTTACCTTACCTTATTCTGTAATTAAGTTTAGTTACTCTTTAGTCTGCTGACTCCTGTTCTTACCTCTGCTATCAGAGTGGTTCCAAAGAATGTTTATCAATATGGTGATAGGCGCTTTATATATATAAATATAAATATATATATGTATGTAAATTGTCCAAAGGTATGTGCATGTAACTTCTGTTGCAGTCAGTCGCAGTGTAATATTGTGACAATCAATATCCAGTGTACAGAACTTCATTATAAGATGTTAACTCTCTCCTTGTCAGATGTATATTATAGTATGCATGCTAGTGTATCTCAGAAGAGTAACTGGTTTGACATTTGTTAATGGCTGTATTAGAGTTGGTTTGTGGTTGGTTTTTTTTTTTCTGTTGTAAAGACAATCTATTTTTGCCTTCTGCCAGCACACTTCAGTTGAGGTGGTGGCGTGATGCTTGTAAACATTAAAAGGAAGTGGAAAACAAGTGAAGTGTGTACAGTTGAACTGTTAATTCACTGTTCCAAGTGACTGAAAGGAAGACTTAAAGACTGAGTTTTACTCTTGGATTTTCTCACACTTTCAGGTATCAGACTTCATTTCTGTATACCTGTAGGCAATCTAGGTGCTGTTGTGAAAAAGAGCTTTTACCATCCTGCAGATGGCACAGCCAGAAGCATCCTTAGAGAGATAAGGTAGAATGAGATAGTGCCTAGAAATAATTCTCTTGCTTACTTACTTCCTTAAGGATTTTTCACTTAACATCTTTTGTTAAGCAAAAAACCCCTCACGACCTCCTTTTCAAAAGAGTATGTTGTAAACATCAAATGTGAATAAGAAGAAATTGTGAATCAGCAACATCTGGAGGGTTAATAATAGAGCCTAGTTCCTGCCCACTTTACTTCATAACATGCTTTGATCAGAGGAAGTTTTCTTCCCAAAGATGTTGCTTGAGCAAGTGAGATAGAAAAAAAGCTTGAGTTCAGGTGTGGGAAAGGAGGTGGCTGAAATAGTTGTGAAAGTTTCAGCATCCTGGTCACACAGTGTTTGGTTTCATAGTGTATTCATTCTACAAAGACACTGGCTTAGTTTAGCTGATCCTGGCATGTCTTCGATGATTGTGGGGTCTGAGCCAAGGTTTGATTAGGTGAGACTCTTGTAATTAACCTGGCAGACCAAGTTTGATAGTTAGCTGTGAGGTCTTAAAGTTTGTAAGGATGGAAATGTGTCACTGGTGACAACTAGAAAAGTCTTTGCTTCCCAAGACTTTCTGAATGCTGAGAAATCTATAAACTGTGACCACATTTTAATAGGCTATTTCAACTGTTAGTCACCAGCTATTGCAACGTAATTCTGAATTCAGTTCAATTATTTTTTAATTTTCCTCCTCTCAGCCAGTTTTGGTAAAAACAACTCTGTTGTCTTGCTGTTCCTAAATTAACAGCTCTAACAAGATCTGTTATGGAACACATTATGAAAGAAGATGGAACTCCTGTGTACCACTATAGTATTGTTAATCAGTGTCTTTTCGTCATCTGATGAAGATTCTCCATGTGCACATTTTCTTCTAATGCTGTATTTTGAAGACATTTTTGTTAAGTAAACATTTAAATACAGAGTGCTAGGGGTTTTTCCAAGGTATTCTTTTATGACATGTATTCTTTGCGCTTAACCCTAGCACAAATCCTTGGATAGCAAGATGAGAACTTACGTTCCCTTGACAGAATTAGACTGCTTATATGAATTCCTTTGAGTTTCTCTGATATTTTTCTCTTAAGCTACTTTGAGAAAATACTATCTTTTGTTTTTTTCTTTATAAACATGAGATTATGGGATATTGTACTTTGTTGATTTTTGTTATTTCTGTTTTAAAAGGGAAGTATTTCCATATTAAAATGTTCTGTGTGTTGCTCATGGGTGTATGATGAACATGCAGACTATTGCAAGGCTGCCTGAATATCCCTACAAATGTTCTTGTTAACTTTGAGTTTCAGCTGTTTGTTCCTTCTGTCTTCTGCATGTTGTATCTTGTTTCTGCACATTACATGAGAAGCTTATGTTATATGTATCTGGTGGAATATTATTGGTAGCTGGTATATAGACTTAATTCCTTCAAAATATAATCTAGAAATAAGGGCTTCACTGTGTTAGCGTTATATTTACAAAGACTTAGGAACTCTCTGCTAAGATCTAGGCAGACAGGCTTAAATAGGTAAGATTATTGTCAAGATAAGCAATGTCTCTGGATAGTTAACAAAAAAGAAAATATTGCTGCTAAATAATGCAAATTGAAAGTATCTTATAGGGAATAGATATCTTCATGCAAGAATTTTATCTGGGGTGAAAGGGGAATATTTACAGTATACTTTTGAATTTTTTGCAAGATTTTGAAGGAACATTCCTAAGACTATTAAACATTAGAAGGGGTATGACTAAACTGTTGAGAGGAAAAATCTACTTCCCTTGAAAACCAGAACACTTTGTTCTCCTCCTTTAAACTGTCACCTATAACCTGCTTTGTAGTTAGAAGGTCTCTCTCTGCCGCCTAAACATTAGGATTGGAAAAATACATTTATTAATTTTTTTAAAGACTTCGCAATTGGACTGCCCTTCTAAATTGATGCACTTCAGGTCAATATAAAGCAGTAAATCCTCCTTGAAACTAAATGAATATTCAGTAATAGTATTGAGCTTCTGGCACCATCTTATGGAATAGACCTAGGAGAATGTAATCTGACAAGTTCACTGTACTGTATTTACTTACTAAAACAAATTAATAGCTACAACTTTGCATTAATACTTCCTCAGACAGGGTGAAGAAAATAGGTATTGTCCATAACCGTTTCACAAGACTCCTGTGTGGGTCAAGGGTTTGCAACTAATTCATTTGGAGTCACGTGGAAATCATGGACATCCAGAAGAGGAATGTTAAACGAAAAACACACTTACAGTTGTTACCTTTTTCTGTTACCCCGTATTTCCTCTTTCAGGGTGTGTTGTCTGATCTGACGAAGGTGACTGGTCTTCATGGTCTGGACCCAGTAGTGCTTGTCCTAGTGGTGGGAATAGTGATGTTTACTTTGGGATTTGCTGGTTGTGTAGGAGCGCTGAGAGAAAACATCTGCCTTCTGAAGTTTGTAAGTAACATTGTTATATGAGTGGATTATTACACATGTGAAAGCTGCCAATGATGGGTGAAGAACAAGTAGGAAACACAGATTAGTTAATTTATAGAATTTGGTTTGTTACAATGTATAGGGTAAATTTAGTCCCCCAAGGAGCCTTTGAATAATGGTATTAAAAGCAGTATAGGTTCAAACCTATGTATATTTTCCCTTTTGTGAAAAATGCTGCTTCTTCGTTGATTCTGCTAAACAGTGATACTATAATATGTATACCAGAATCTAACACTCTGTAATATCACAAAATATGATGTTCTAGAACATATTTAGACAGTTAAGAATTACTGAGAGGAGATGGTAGAGTGGCTTAGGGAGAATAAAATCCCTTAAATTAAAAATTCTAAATGTTTGGTGGGCAAAAACTTGGAAACGTCAGTGACTGATGTGAAATCTCTTAAATGGTGTTTTATTACTGAGGCTGCTTCTTTGCTTTAGATCTGAAAACAGTTAAGATGGACAAAAAATTACAAAACTGGAAACAATCCAAGAAGTAACATCAAGACTACTTTAGCCCTGTGTTTTGTGGATTCTCATTTATTAATATTTTCACTGCTGTGCATAGTGACTGTGGTATGGTGCTTGTTTTACTGTTGAATTCAGGTGACCAAAAGAAAAACGTAACTCTCCCTCTTTGGGGGTTTCTTTACATTGTATTCTCATTTAACATGCTGTGTTCTCATGGTATCTGTACTGAGTGAGAATTTTAACCTAATTCTCTGTGTCTGTTTCTGGTGGACATTAGGACTAGGGATGCATTCAAAATGAATGGGTATTTTCTAATTTGGGGTGCTGCTTTTTTTTTTTTTTTTCAGTTCTGTGGAGCAATTATGTTTATATTCCTGCTGGAGCTGGCAGTGGCAGTTTTGGCTTTCCTGTTCCAGGATTGGGTGAGGGACAGGGTCAAGGAATTCTTTGAGAATAACATTAAATCTTACCGAGATGATATTGACCTCCAGAACCTCATTGATTCGCTACAGAAAATTGTAAGTTCATATTTGGTCACTTTTAATGTGTTCTAGGAGAATATGCAGATTTGGAAGTTTTCCTTTTTTGTTATACATTTATCATATTCTGTAGCTAATAGTGCTGTATAGCAGATAAGCAGTTTTGCTTTCTGCACTGAAAGCATTGTGGAGGCAAGATATTCTGAGATACAGTGCTGTTCTGACTGCAAATGTGGAAGCTCTGCTAAGCATCCATCTGCTTTTGACCTTCTCGACTTGCTTCCCTGTTCTGATCAGCGTTGCAACAGTTAAGTGAGAAGGGAGCAAAAAAAGGACATTTTATCCAGACAAAAAATTGTGCAACGAAACCGGTAGTGTACGCTCTTATTTTAAGGAGGCACCGCAGTCTTGCACAGGGCCTTTTAAACTTCTGAGCTGCACACCATCTTGAAGAAAAAGAGAATTTTTGTCAATGGGGAAAGGCTAGTCTCTAGTCAGGTAGTTGTCAAGGAGGGTTGAAACAATTTTATGCTCATGTGGTCCTAAAATCTTCAGTTATTAGAAGACTGTAATGTACACCAGGAGATGACAAGGCCTGTGCTGGTAAGAGCCTGCTGGCTTTCATTCAATCAGCTCCTTTTGTAGTCATGCCCAGGAAACAACCAGTGAGGGTCACTCTTCTGATGTGTGTTTGTTTGTATGTGGTTGTCCTGGTTCAGCTAGGATAGGGTTAAGTTTTCCCCATCAGAGAGGGGGAAGAGACCTCCAGGTGGGTTATTCATCCCATGCTGATGTCAGGTCTGGGGGCCGAAGGGTAGGAACTTTTTCCTTTGTAGCTTTGGTCACGGGGAACACGGGGCTGTCTGTAACCATTGCGGTATTTTTCAGTGTATCTTTTGTATTGTTTTATATTATTGCTGTTTAATGTTGTTATCATTGCTACTGTTGTTGTTCAGATTGTTATTTATCTCCCTATTATATTAAATTTCTTCTTATTTTAACTCGGGGTTTCACTTACAGCCTGATGGGCTGAGGGTGGGGGAGGGACAAAGGCAACGTGGTCTCTGGTCCCGGCAGGGCTTAAACCAACTCAGCCTTTTTGGTGCACCAAGGTGGGGCAAAAGAGGGCTGAAATAAGAATCAAAAAGGGACAGACCCTGACCAGAGTGTGTTAGAGCAATCTGTTAGGTGTAATTTTTCTGTTTGTATTTGTCTGATAAGAAAATGTTTGCAATGCTGGCCCACTTGCTTGCGTGATGGGGCTGAATTAATCCTTATATCCAATATATAATCCCAGTGCTTGTGTTTGTTATCGGTGGAAAATGTGTAAAGGGTCTTATTGTGCTTTACTGGCTACTGACTGCTTATAATGTGTTTCTATTGTTGTTTGTGGGGGCGGGATGGTATCTGTTTGCTGCCTGGGCTTTTGTTAGGGGTGTCACCCCCTCTATGGGTGAGCCAGGGGAAGAGATCCTCTCGGTTTTTGAGAGTTTCAATTATCCTTGGAGCCTTCAGGCTAGTGTGATTGTGGCACAATGCTTTCTGAATGTCTGCCTGATTTCGGTTTTGGCCATGCGGCACTTGTCTAAAAATAGCAGTGCCCGGAAACCTGCCCCGAGATCAGATATTAGAGAGTGGCAAGGGGTGTAGGAAAAGATGGGCAAAGGCCTGAGTCGGTGGGCACCTCCAATGCTTTGGAATTTCACACCCAAACAAATGCAGAGCCCTGATAAGTTGATGGAGTGCTTATAAAGGGTGTGTTACCAATCTGCCAAAACCCAGGAGAGACAACGCCTTACAAAGTGTTGGGGACTTGCCCGTGACTACCTTGTCCTTTTTAAAACCACCCACTGCCGTCAAGGGGGAGAAAGGGTTGCAGGATCTGAGAACGAATTTACTGGTACAGTATCTGGGCCTGGGGAACAGGCAGAACCAGCATCAATCGTCTCCAGAAGCACAGCAATTAATCCAGAGAGTCAGCCAGTGCCGGTATCAGTCGCCCCGATACAGAAAACCAAATATACCAGGAAGTCAGCTCGCAAAGTGGGGGATGGGGATGAGCCAGGCCCATCACGGGAACAGGAGGAAGGGCCAGAGGTGATTGTCTGATCTCTATCCCCAACTGAGTTGCAAGATACGCGGAGAAATTTTGGCCGCCTGGAAGGTGAGCAGATTTGCACCTGGCTGCTCCGATGCTGGGACAATGGAGCCAGTGCTTTTGAAATGGAGGGGAGAGAGGCCAAGCAGCTGGCGTCTTTGGCCAAGGAGGCTGACATTGACAGGGCAATAGGGAAACAGACTCAAACCCACAGCCTTTGGAAGCGACTCATGCTCAGTGTAAGGGACAGCCACCTCTACAAGGATGATATCCTATGTCAACTAAGCAAATGGACCAGCATTGAGAAAGGCATCCAGAACCTCAGGGAACTGGCTGTGTTTGTGATGATCTGTAGTGATCTGAATAAAGAACAGTCACCCATGGACCCAGATCAGGCCCCTTGCACACACCCGATGTGCGAAAGTTCCTGAAGAGCACACCAGAAGCACACTCGAAAACATTGGCAATAGTGTTCTGGTGGACAGACACCCACACTCTAATAGTGGATGGAGTGGTTGGCAAGTTCCTGCAATATGAGGGAAATCTCCCTTCATCTCCACATTCATGGGTCTCAGCTGTGGAGGAACTGTCTCAGAGGGTCCAGAAAATGGAAGAGGACATGTCCTACATTCCACCTGCACGGGCCGATGTCTCAGCCATTAGAAGTAAAAGTTTCCCCACCCGAGAGAAAGGCAGCAGAAGGCACACACCACGAGGCACCCTGTGTTTTTTCTCCACAACCATGGAGAAAACATGAGGAGGTGGGATGGACAGCCCACTGCTGCCCTAGCTGCACGAGTAGAACAGCTGAAAGGGAAGAACATCACAAAAGGGGAGTCTTCCAAGAAAAGTGCAGCTCCAGTGTCCAGTCAGAAATCCCCCAGACAGAATAGAATGGTGAATGTTATGTCTGATCGTCTTGAGGGGACCAGTAAATCATTCTTACAAGAAGTGAGTGATGCTAGGCAGGATTAGAGGGGCCCTGCCTCCAGCCAGGTGGAGGAAAGGGATAATTGGATTTACCGGACAGTGTGGATCCGATGGCCTGGCACGTCAGACCCACAAGAGTATAAGGCTTTGGTCGACAGTGGTGCACAGTGCACCCTGATGCCATCGAACTACAGTGGGGTTGAATCCATCTGCATCTCCAGAGTGACAGGGTGATCCTAACAGCTGACCCTATTGGAAGCTGAAGTGAGCCTGACTGGGAAGGACTGGCATAAGCACCGCATTGTGACTGGCCCAGATGCCCTGTTCATCCTGGGCATAGACTATGTCAGGAGAGGGTACTTCAAAGACCCAAAAGGGTACCGATGGGCTTTTGGTGTAGCTGCTGTGGAGGATGTTGAACAGTTGTCCACGTTACTGGGCATCTCAGAGGGTCCCTCAGTGGTGGGGTGGCGTAAGGTTGAGGAGCAGCGAGTGCCGATTGCTACCAGGACGGTGCACCGGCGGCAGTACCGCACCAACCGAGATTCCCTGGTCCCCATGCATCAGCTGATCCATCAACTAGAAAGCCAGAACGTGATCAGCAAAACTCTCTCACCCTTCAATAGCTCTATATGGCCAGTGAGAAAGCCTAATGGTGAATGGAGGCTAACTGTGGAATACTGTGGCCTGAATGAAGTTATGCCAGCAATGACTGCTGCTGTGCCGGACATGCTCGAGCTCCAGTATGAAGTGGAGTCAAAGGCAGCCAAGTGGTATGCCACAATTGACATTGCTAACGTGTTCTTCTCCATTCCGATAGCGCCAGAGTGCAGTCCACAGTTTGCGTTCACTTGGAGAGGCATCCAGTACACCTGGAATCGATTACCTCAGGGGTGGAACCACAGCTCCACCATTTGCCATGGACTGGTCCATACTGCACTGGAGAAAGGTGGGGCTCCAGAACGCCTGCAGTATATTGATGACATCATTGTATGGGGGGACACAGCGGAGGAAGTCTTTAAGAAAGGGAAGAAGATAATTTTAATTCTCCTAAAGGCCGGCTTTGCCATTAAGCAAAATGAAGTTAAGGGGCCTGCAAGGGAAATTCAATTCCTAGGAATAAAATGGCAAGATGGGCATAACCACATCCCAATAGAGGTGATAAACAATGGAAATAACAGCCATGGCCCCACCAACCTCTAAAGAGGAGCCTCAGTCTTTCCTGGGCGCTGTGGGCTTCTGGAGGATGCACATCCCGAACTACAGCCTGATTGTGAGCCCTCTCTACCATGTAACCCATAAGAATAATGATTTTGAATGGGACCCTTAACAGCAACAATCCTTTGAGCAAATTAAGCGGGAGATTGCCCAAGCAGTAGCCCTTGGGCAAGTCCGGGAAGGGCAGGAGGTTTGAACATGCTCTTCACGGCAGCCGGGGAGAATGGCCCTATCTGGAGCCTCTGGCAGGGAGCACCTGGGGAAGCCCGAGCCTGACCTTTAGGTTTTTGGAGCTGGGGATACAAAGGCTCTGAAGCTAATTATACACCACCTGAGAAGGAGATACTGGCATCGTATGAAGGAGTTCGGGCTGCCTCAGAAGTGGTCAGCAGTGAAACACAGCTCCTCTTGGCACCCTAACTGCCGGTGCTGGGGTGGATGTTTAAAGGAAAAGCCTCCTCAGCACATCATGCAACAGATGCCCCCTGGAGTTAATGGGTTATGCTGATAACACAACGAGCTCAAATAGGGAACCCCAGGGATATTAGAGGTGATTACGAACTGGCCAGAGAGCAAAACTCGCGTAGTGCTCCACACCACCGCCTTGAATTCCATCCTGGGCCTTGAAACCCAAGTCCTGTGGCAACATGGCACCCCAGAGAGACCTGAGTCAGGCAATGCGACCCACTTCCAAAACAACCTCATAAATGCCTGGGCAGAAGAATACGACATTGTGTGGGTCTACCATATCCCCTATCATGCACCAACCTCTGGGAAGATCGAGCGCTACAATGGATGGTTAAAAACCACGTTGAAAGCACTGAGAGGTGGTACCTTCAAAGACTGGGACATGCATCTAGCAAAGCCACCTCAGTAGTCAACAGAAAAGGATCTGCCAGTGGAGCTGTCCTGGCTTAGTCAAAACCTCCCTGTGCTGTAGATGGGGATAAAGTCCCTGTGGTGCGCATGAGGAATATCTTAGGAAAAATGGTCTGGTTTAGTCCTGCACCAGGCAAAGGTAACGCCAAACCCATCCACAGGATTGCTTTTGCCCAAGGACCTGGGTGTACCTGGTCGGTGATACAGGACAATGGAGAGGTCCGATGCATACCACAGGGGCCTTGATTCTGGGTGAGAACACACCGTGAATTATGCTGTGCCTTTGTAAATTTTTTGTTACTGTTAACTGCTTAGTGTCATCTTGACATGATGTAGTTGGTATAGAATAAAGGGGTGGATTATGTCCTGCTTCAGCTAGGATAGGGTTAATTTTTCCCCAGCAGAGAGGGGTAAGGGATCTCCAGGCCGGTTATTCATCACATGCTGACGTCAGGTCCGGGGGTGGCAGCACAGGAATTTATTTTCTCTGTGGCTTTGGTCACGGGGAGCTTGGGGCTGTCTGTAACCATTGCGGTATTTCTCTGTATATCTTTTGTCTTGTTACTGTTATTGCTGTTTTGTTGTTTTTATCATTGCTACTGTTGTAGTTCAGATTGTTATTTTCACCCTATTGTATTAAATTTCTTCTTATTTTAACCTGGGGTTTGTTCCTCACTTCCAGCCTGATGGTCTGAGGGTGGGGGAGGGACAACTGCAACGTCGTCTCCAGTCCTGGCAGGGTTTAAACCAACTCAGTGGTTAAAAAAATACGGAGGGAAACAGAGTATGTATGTGAGTGCTTCACAAAGAGGTAAAAGGGTTGTCTCCTTTATATATATATATATTTTTCCCCTTATTAAAGAAGGTTGGTTTTGTCTTTCTTCCATCTTCTAGAAGATGATGTTTGGATACCTGTACTCACAGATCAGTTCAATAGCAAAGTATGTTTTAGGGGGGGTGGTAGTTTGGTGACCTGTATGTTACCAGCATCTTACCTGTCCTGTACATTCATTACTGTGTGCATTGATATGGAAGCATCCTCCTACTAAACTGCCTGGATGGATTTCAGTGCTGTTTTGCTTTGGCTTTTGGTGGTAAGGGCGCTTGTTTATAAGGTAGGACTCTTCCTGGCCATGACCAACACCTGTAATTGTCTCAGTGTTGTCAACTGTTGTTGCTCTTTCTGTTCACCTAGTTTCAGTGCAGTCATCCAGGCTGATACGCTAAGCTGATTTACAGTTGAACTCCAGTGAAATATTTTTAAATGAAAGTAAAAGGCTGAGATTCCTAAAAGGAGTTCAGTACCCAGATTAACAAGCTCATAAACCTGAAAAAGAAAAAAACCAAAAATCTCTCAATTGGCCTGTTGTTGATGCATACCTGAACTTACTAAGGAAGGAGGGGAAGTATGCAGTGCAGATTAGCATGTAGTGCTGCAAAGGTTGAACAAGATGCAGCAATGTGTTCAAATGCCACACTGAAGCCCATCTTCTAAGGAGCCATGTTCCTTAGGCTGACTTGCTCTGTTCTCAGTGTTGTGCCTTGGGATCCAGAGTGCTTTTTGTAGGCACCTGCTTACTCTGGCTAATTATACTACTTCCAAGCTGATGAGTGACCTCTTGTAGTCTGTACCTTGCTAAAGTAGATTAACATGTTTAGTGGTTGTATGGCTTCTTAGAAGGGCATAGAGCTGTGGCTGAGGTGGAATTAAAAAGATAAAAATGAACCCGTTTTGCTTTCTTCACAGTATATGTGCTAGTGAGTTAACAGTTGGTCTGTTCTGACCATTCTATTCAGTTCTAGTTATATTTCCTGTGAAACTATGGAAACAATTCTGCTCTCTGTTCCCATCCATGTCTGTCACAAATTGTAACTTCTGAATCCATTTACTGACTTCCAAGTTGTCCTGGTTCAGCTAGGATAGGGTTAAGTTTTCTCCAGCAGAGAGGGAGAAGGGATCTCCAGCCAGGTTATTCATACCATGCTGATATCAGGTCCGGGGCAGGAGCACGGGAACTTTTTCATTTGTGGCTTTGGTCGCGGGGAGCACACAGCAGGCTGGCTGTGTCCATTGCAGTATTTCTCTGTATATCTTTTGTCTTGTTTACTGTTATTTCTGTTTATTGTTGTTATCATTGCTACTGTTGTTGTTCAGATTGTTATTTGTCACACTGTTGTATTAAATTTCTTCTTATTTTAACCCAGGGTTTGTACCTCACTTTCAGCCTGACCATCTGAGGGTGTGGGAGGGGCAATGGCAACGTGGTCTCTGGTCCCGGCAGGGCTTAAACTGGTACACAAGTTTTGAAGGTCTTGCAGATAGTTAATACAAGTTTTGTGAACACAGGCAGTGGGCAGAGGTGACATCCTAGAGTTAATCCCAGGAGGGTAGAACTTCATGAGGTACCAGGAAAAATTGTTTGATGGTGTAACATTTCCACTACTCAAATTCTAGAGATTTGCACCCTTAAAATCAAGGCCAGTTAACAGCAAAACATAACTTAAAACGAAACTAGCTTTCATTAGTTCCAGGAAATGAACATTCCTTTCAATGTTTGGATTTCCCCAACCTGCAGTTATGGTAATTGCATTACACTGTTTAGGTCAGGAAACTTACGTGAAATACTTCTAGGGTTGACTGACCTTTGAGCTAGTGAGACTTTACCAGTTAATTCATTTGGATATAAAAGACTTCTCATTTAAAAGAAAGGAAATATACTCACAAAAATTTGGATCCACTTTTCACAGTAAACAAGGAGAAGAAAACATTTATTCATGAAGATTTAAGGATGGAGTCAGAAGTGTAAAGAAACATTTTTCATAGTTTTTCTGGTTTTGGCTGACTTGGAAGTAATGGGGTACAAATCAATTGTATAAACTATTTTATTGCACCACTTATGGATGTATGCGGATTGCGCCTAGAAATTACATCTAAAGTGATAATTTTTATGATTCTACTTGTCATGCTGACACCTGTTTCCAGGAGCAGTATGCCAAATGTGTTGCTTTCATTTCATAGAGCCACACCATTGATTACTCATTTTTTACTCTGAAGTTGCCACTGATACTGCACAACCTTAGAGAAAGTGAAGATAATGAGCAAATATCATTCCAGAGAGTTCATTCAGTGGATAAATTGTCTCTAAAATGCCCCCAAATGCTAAATGGTTGTTTATCTGTTTCAGAACCATTGCTGTGGTGCCCAAGGTCCAGATGACTGGGACTTTAACATATACTTTAATTGCAGCAGTGAAAGCAAAAGTCGTGAGAAGTGTGGTGTTCCCTTTTCCTGTTGTATACCTGATCCTGCTGTAAGTTGTTTCCTGACTTTTTATTGCTCTGATGTTGTTGGAGAGTTATAAGAGGAAGCATTTCCTGAATAAGGTGTGATGACTAGGGCTTAAAAGGTCTTCAAAATGATCAAAAATTGCTCCTGCACAGACAAACTCTTCATGTTTCTGTTCCATCCTTTTTAGAGTCCAAGTCTGACAACAACTTTTATACAGCTGAAAATGTATTGTCACCAGGAATTCTAGCTATTTTTGTATGTCTTGAGTCTGCAAGTACTGGTGGCTGATTTTTATTTTTTTTTTTAATTCTCATATGTTGTTTCCTTTAATTCCTTGTCTATTACCTAGCTTGTAAGGATCTGAGAGCACTGTTTAGACACTCCTTAGGCAGTGTCTTCACCCCAGTTAATGTTACCACCCCTCTGCCACATAAGTAGGAGCTAACTCAATTGCTGATTGTTTATCAGCAACTAGTAAAGTGCATGTGCACAAACTCAGTTTAAATCATTTGAGTCAATTCTCTGTATTTGGCAAGATTTAGGTGCTTATTGATTAGATCTGTTTACTAAACTTTAGGAATCTGACTACATGCAGTGGACTTCCACTTCATTCAGTAGAAGCTAAAATGCAGAGGTAGGAAGTAACATATAATGCTTTACAGTCAGAGTAGGTGCAGCTCAAAGTCAGTCCAGCAATCCTTGTGTGGAAAAGGTAGCCTTTGATAGGTTATACTAATGCTTTTAATTATCTTGGAAATCAACCAAAGGATGACTTTGTCAGGGCAATATTCCATGTTCAGATTATCCAGTAATTATTTTCTATTTTAATTTGGAGCATTACTATTCCACTGCAACTTTTTCTGTTGCTGGTGGTGTATCTAAGGAGGCATAGGTATGTTTAAATGTTTTTAATATGAGACTTCAATTAATATGAGATTAGTATTTCAATATAACTCATTATGTCTTTGCATCTTTGGAGATAAATACTGTCACTGGGTTGTGTGGAGTTATAATCTGGAAGGTGTTTATGATCTTCCTACTTGGTATCTGCAACTGGAGTGTTTAGTCTTCAAGACTAGGTGTATCTTGAATCTGGGTTATATGTGAGACTTTGAACTGTCAACTGCAGGGGCTAAAGTAGCTTGTAGCTATTACTTGTTTTAACTGAAATGATGGAATTGTAAGGCATATTTCTCCACTCAAGTGTAAATAAATAGGCCTGTTACCTTTACTGTTACCTTAGTGTTTAGGTGTTACTTGGAGTAGCCAACATGACACTGCTCTTGGAAATGTAGATGTCTTACCTATATTCTGGCAGTACAGTTGCTACACTTCATGTTAAAAAGTCTTTGTTAGTTGAAAGCCAAGTGATAGAATAAGCTGGGATTTCTGGTGGAGGATGTTTTCCTGCTAATATACATCTCTGCTTTAGCAGAATATAAGGAAGTAATGACAGTGTTTTGCTCAATTTTACTAAAAATGCTACTTAAAATGGTTGATTCTAGCAGTCCTGATTTGTCTGTGAATCTAAACGACAGAAAAACTTATGTGAACAGAAATGAGAACAACTCAGTTGACCTACTTTACATCTTTTTTGCTTTGCAGCAAAAAGTTGTGAATACCCAGTGTGGCTATGATGTCAGAAAGAAGGTAAGATTCTGGGATCTTGCTCTCTGTCATGTTATGTGCTTGTATAGGCAAAATTAAAAACGGTGGAATGGCTGATATGTCAGCTTAAAATTCTGGGAACTAATCAACTACATCATACTATAAGTAGATAATGGTAGAGATTTTTTATTTATTTAAAATAAACTTGTACTGTGGGAGAGTGAAGAAAACAAGTGATGGAACAAAGGGAAGGATGTATTTCAAAAAGGGGTAGGACTTGCATTTCAAATGTGCATTTTAATTATTGTAATAGTCTAAATCTGAATTCTATTATCTGAGAATTCTAAAGTATTCTAATAACAGAATTTGCAGGAAGATACCATCAGTGTCTGACATTCCCTGATATAATCTGGGTATATATTTATTTCTGGAATCTGGGTAAAAGTGTTACTGCATAACTGACAAATCATTAGTTTAGCTATATTATGTGCTTGACTGATCTCATAATGAACTTGAGCAGAAAAGTAATATTCTTATTTCTCCTTCCCACATTCAGAGCAAGAATGAATGGGATGATCAGATTTTTGTCAAAGGATGTATTCTTGCTCTTGAAGCTTGGTTACCTCGAAATGTCTACATTGTTGCAGGTGTCTTCATAGCTATCTCACTGCTCCAGGTTAGTTGTTCTTGTTATGCTACTTTGAAAAGAGTTTCAACTTTGCAGATAGAGACCTGCTGAAGGTGAAGTAGTTACGGAGAGAGGTAGAGTAAGTATTTCAACACTGAGTTTTTTAGGTGTGAGAATAATAAGGAAAAAAAAAAAAGGGATGGGGGACCTAGTTGATAGCAGATATTTTCACTCTTAATTCTGTTGAAATTATGTTGCTCAAAGCAAATTAAAGTTGTCATAAAAATACAATTATAATACAGTATGTGATGATTCTGATGTATGTTGTTACATATTACTATAGCAATATGCTAATATACGATTATTATAAAAAACAATGTTGTACAATACTATTTCTTAATTTTCAATATTCTGTGAGGGAGGGGAGATCTTCTGTTCATGTACTTCAGCAGATCTGAACTACAGCTTTCTATCACAAATGTGAAATGACTAAAATAGAGCTCTGTCCTTCATGTAAAGATTACCACTCAGCTGATTGTAAGTGATGTGTAGCATACTGCTCAAAAAAAGCTGAGAATGGAAGAGAGGGAGATTAGTGAACAGGTTGCAAAGGTGATATTAGCAGAAACTGATGAAGGAGTTGCAGTGACTTTCGTCAGTACCTTATCAGTGCTTGGTACATCAAGAACGAAAATTCTCAGTACAGTGTATTAAATTACTTCTTTCAAGGTGGATTCTCCTTTCATTGTGGCAGTTGTTTACACTTACCTAAATTTCTTTACTATGGTACTGCTTCATTTCAGTGGGAAATAACAAACTTGTAACTCTATACAGATGTATTTTCCGTTTAACTGAGGACAGGTGAGCCGAGTGCTGCATAGTCCCCAGCCGTGGCGCTCCTGCCCCCTGGTGCCTGGCGTTTGACATGTTCTCACCATCCAATGATAGTGCTTCCATGGCCCTGAGGTGCTGTCCTGAGAACACCTTCTCTTAGGAAGTTGTTCAAGATACGAAGTTTAATCTTTTGCCAGCGTGACTGGCAATAACTTGATGTTGTTGTTCTTACTCATGCCCTGGGTCTCGTGAAACCACTTTCAGTCACTTGTATTTTCCAACTGGGTCTTTCTGGTGCACTGAACTATTCCACATTGGGACTGAGAGTTAGACATAACCTGACTAATTCTAAAACAAATATTTTGGTTTTTTTAAATCTTGACCACAGTCTTTTGTTATTTTTCTAAGAACGTTTTTTGAAATATGTTGAGTTACGAATTTATCTCAATTTGTCAAGGAAGATTTCCCCAAGAGCTTGAGTAAATGTTAAAATTCCAAATTTAAATGTATTGGAGTAATCTGGGACTTTTCATAACTACTGCTTGTGTCAAGAATTTCATTTTAATATGAGTAATTGTACATTCTGTATGTATTTTTAAAAAATTATCAGAAAATTGACTGGATTATCCAAAATTATGGAATGAATTAAAATGCCTGATTTGTAACTTTAGCCGTAGGTAAGTGTGTTATAAGACTAAAACTTGTCGAAGTGGATTTCTTCCAGCTCTAAGGCATCTAGAAACTTATTATTTTGAATTGTCCTGAAGTTTTACATAAAAGAATCTTTTTCTCATGAGTTTTATTTCCTGCAAGATTCTGCTGCCTTCATTACTTTTTAGTAATAGCCATGCTTTGACAGATGATCCTGGCTATGAAGTATCTGAACCTGCAAACACTTCAAATGCATATCTTTATTCACCAGAGTAGCTGCACTGCTATCAGTAGAGTGTAATAGGAACACATAAGAAGTGGCTTCCCATTCTGCAATAATGACTAATGGTATTAGGTTCTAATTTTTAGAAACATCTTGCAGAGTGGTACATTAAAAATGTTTCATCTCACAAATGGTTTGTCTTTTGTCTTTTTAGATTTTTGGGATTTTCCTAGCCAGGACATTGATTTCTGATATTGAAGCTGTAAAGGCAGGTAATGCCTTCTGAACATAAAAGCAGACATGTTTTGCAGAAAACTACGTTTTACGGTTATTGGTCGGTCACCGAGGCGGAAGAAATGCACAGACAGTGAAATACTGTTATTAAAAACCTTATGTGGATTTTACCCTGCTCATACTTTTGTTAGAAGCTGGTACAAAAATCTCTTAACGCGCACCTTTCTACCTTTTTTCTAATGAAACAACTCAGTGCACCAGCACTGATCTCTGAAGAAATGAAATTTCACAAGACATGGAGGAACAGATTTTGAAGATTCTAGCAAGGAGACATGAAACTGCTGTAAACTTTTTCCTTGAAGGCTTACCATGAAGATTGTTCTGTTTTCATTCCCATCTGTCATCAGTCTCAATGTAATCTTTCTAGAAGGTGTGCCGATTTCTTCAGAATCTTGAAATTGTTTAATCGCTACAGTAAACTCATGCAATCATTTTTTTTGCAAGATACCTTGCAACCTTAATCATCATGGTATTGGAAATTGGATAAAAAAGTCACAAATTATTTAGTTCTTTAATTGACTTTTAGTTGTGCAGAAGTAGGGATATTTCTGTGTGACTGGGAATAACATAGATGTCTCAGAAGCAGGAATCTGCTCAGCATCAGAGCTTGTGTAACACATGCTGCTTTGAAAATACAAGCCTTTTTTTGGGAGAAAAATCCTTACTATCTGTAGCATTATATATTTAGAAATCTCCATTTCAGGCAAGGGGGTATGAACCCCTGATGCTGTTTCCTATCAGAAAAAAAATTTAAATATTCTTTATTTATATAAGGAAAAACTCTTTAAAATGCTTAGCCTTTTATTGATCAGTAATGTCTTTAAAAAGTGCTGTCTGCAGAAATTTCAAAGTGCAGCTTGTTTCACTAGGTAGCAAGCATGCTATGCTAGCTGTTGGTGGTGATTGCCTTTCTTCTAGTTTCTCTCACAAATGCTATATTGATCTTCACAAGTCCTAACTGCCAATATCAAGACTGATCAAAACCATTTAAATTCAACATTGATCCCTACTGAAATCTGGTTTTAATGAGGATATATGCATTTAGTGAAAGATTGGAGTTGCTGAATTTTTAAATCTTCTGTAAAGCTATTCACTTCTGAGTTCTGCTCGTATTCTGATACATGGTTCAAGTGCCAGTCACAATATCGTGAACTAGAATTTCTTCACAGTAATTTTCTACATTAGACTGAACTATTCTTGCTGAAGGCATTTTTAAAAATTATTTTTATCAGAAAAGTAAACTCTCTTCTTTCTGTTCTCCCTTCTTGGGCGTTCAGTAGATGGATCTGTAGTTCAGTAAGAGTTCCAGTCTTCTCTAAAAGACTTTGGCATAGTATTTTTAGCTTTAAGGTAGAAGTATGTGGCTGAAAAGTTCTTGGAGGTAGCTTTAGCTGTCAGTTTGGTGCCACGTAACTAACACTGTTTACCGCTTCCAGTGACATAATTTTTTTTCAGGGAGAGCAGGTTTATTTACAGTGCCTAACATAGTGTAAATTTTAGTAAAATATATTTTTATAATGATATTTTACTACATGTAGCCTGCCTGGAGGATTTAATACTTGTGTTTCCAAAGTATATGGCTTTCTTAGGATGCCCGGCTTTTAAATATCTCTCTAATATCTCTTTTCTATTCTGTGTTTATTAATGAACATTTCACTGGCAAAAGCTGATCAACAGTAAGAATCTTTGTATTGATTGTTAAGATATCCTTCTGGCTTTTAATCTGTGAAGCACTTCATAGACAGTTTTGTACTTCTTGTGTGTACTTCAGCTTTCATAGTTGTTGGGGGTTTTTTTTTTGGCCAGTGATTGAGACAACAGGAAGAGGAAGCTTGTCTTAAGGATGGCTGATTTCCTTACAGTAGCAGTGTGCTATTACTCATCTGAAAACCTAAAAGTAAATTTTTTTAGAAGTGCACTGTGTATTTTTTTTTTTTAGCTTTGATATACAACAAGGAAACAACAGCAGTAGGTCACAGGGGAGAGAAGAGGCCTTTCTTCTGTAGAGCCTTGAATCTGAGGTCTGTATTACATACTGAATCTAGTTCATTAGAAGCAGCCAGAAGTTTGCTGCTGTTGCTACTTTGCAAGCAGTAAAGCAGTGTTCAGCAACCTTTGTTATAAACTCTATTGCTTGAAACTTTATACCACCTCATGAACTGACTTACTCTGTTAAGGTTATGTGTAATAATCTGATGTATGTAAAATTGGAGAAGGATGCTTTCTATTTGTAATTTCTTATTTGTAAAACATTGCATTGAAAATTGAATATAGGGATTATGTTTCCCTTTGCCAAAGAATGCTCCTAATGCTGGGAAGTAATTTCAGCAATTGTTGAAAATCATCATGGTGTCAAAGATATCTGCGGAGTTCATGCTGATCAAATTAGCTGCTGACAAGAGCCAGTGAGCCAGTATCACAGATCAGGATTCCGATGTCTGCAGATCTTGTCCAGTTGCCTGAAGACAAATGAGTACTTGGTTTCTTTTTGAAGTACTGTTTGTGTGCAAAACAGGATTTAATTGAAGTGTTTTCTTTCCACAGTTTGTTCTTACTGGCTTTGGCCATATTAACACCAGCTTTGTATCAATACTTCAGTATTTTGGAACTGAACTTGAGAGCAAGTTCAACCAACCTATTTAAGGATCTTTAAATTCATGGAGTGATTTGTTTTCACTGTGGATAAACTTCTCTGTGCTTATTCAGTATCACTTTTAAAACCTTGGGGCTCTTGGCTGGCTTATCCCAAGACTTCGGAATACTTTCTTCCCACTTTCTACTTAGTTATATTTAGCACCGTCTCTGTGGACGTGCAGTGACTTCATGGCTAAAGGTTTAGATTATGGTTTAAAAAATCTTGTCAGCAAAAGCAGTTGGGTGTGAGTTTGCCTCTGAAGTCTCGAAGGAGGAGCAATTCAATGATCTCACAAGGAGAGGTTTGGTAAATTGTTGATGTTGAGATTTCAGTGTTTGCATTTGGAACAACTCCACAAACACTACCATGGAAATGAAGATGAAAAATATGAGATCAGACTTGAATAACTAGACTAAGAGAAGGAAATTTTTCAGTATGATCACTTTTATTTCTTGGAAATAAGCACAATTTATTTCTGTGAAGCAATGCGTTTATTTGTCAGTATGTTTGACAGCGTGACTGCCCTTTTATTTATATTAATATACCTACATTTGGACGCAGTTTCCCTGTATGTGAAGAGGAGGATGAATATAAGCGCTGAAAGAAGTACAGTGACCAGAGGAGCTTCAATTGCCTCCATAAAACCTGAATATTTGTTCCCAAGGGGTCTTTAGTTTTGGTGACCTTCATACAGTGCCATGTAGATAGACTTGGACCTCTAGTCTGTTGAGGCTGATGTGACAATTGGCTTATATGTAAATTGCTTTGGTTTTTTGTTTCCCCGTTTCATACTTTCCTCTTCCTTCCCCCTACCACCTATGGCTTATCATGGAGCTTGAATGTTGTTTAGCCAGTGGAAGAGGGGAGGTTCTGTCTTTCCTTCTGAGATGGCTTTTTCTGAGTGACTTTCAGTATATTTTTTTCCTCAAGCCTTAAATTTGATTAAATAAAATGTAATGTTTTGTACTCCTGGAGTTTGGTTTCTAAGGTTTGTTGCTTCCATTCACTTGTATTTCCCTCTCCAAGGTTTAGACTGACTACTGAGACCTGCAATTTGTTGATTAACTACAAAAATGGTAAAGGTCTCTTGGTGTTTATGTGTATATTTTGCTGAAACTAATACTTGATTTTTTTCAGTCTGGGCTGCTGAATAATAGATAACACTGATGCTTTTTTCTTCATTGTTAATAGAAAGCTGTAAACAAGTGAAGAGCTGCTGGATGGTGTAGAGAAATGATTAAATCTGTAGACACCAAAAAAAGTTAAAACGGCTGTTTGCACTTTGACTGCCATTATCCACAGTTACTGCTTTTATGATTTGAACAGTCTGTGGTTTGTCATGTCTGAGCAGTGTTCCTGAAACTATTCTTAAGAGTTCAGAAGGGAAGTAACTCCCAGGTTTGAAGATGAGGCTTGCAGAAATAAGTTTGTCTGCTTCTTTGACCATTTTAATGTTTCTTTAATGCATTAAAACCTGATTCTAGTTTTAATAAGGTCAGAGGAACATTTAATCAATAGAGAAAGGCTATATTAGAATGCGGTATTTGCAGTTAGACACTCTAGAATGTTAAGACTGGATTACTTCTGATAAGAATGACTTAACTTGAATTGGGACTATTTGGGGGGTGGGGTGTATGTATAAATATATATAAATATCTTTCTCCTACTATGTTGTCAAAACCTGCTTGCATGTTACTCACCAAGTGACTTGCTTAGGGTGGTTTTGTGATACTCCCTTTCTCAAGAGTACTTCTGAAAGTGCTACTTGGTGGCGAAGGTAGGCAACTAAATAGAGTTTTGCGGATGGGAAAGCTTTTGCAGGAACAAAGTTGTAATGTTTTTTCACAGACATAAGCCAGTTATACTCAAATTGTTTGAGAATGGGAGGCTTTGTGTACTTTGGAATATTCCCTGCTTTATAACAATTTTTTCAAAGATCAGTACTTTTCTATTTCTTTTTCTCAATAGCTTTTACTGATGGCTAAAATAAGTCATTCCCTAGCTATTCAGTATCTCCTGCTACAGGGGTTTGAATTTGATTTGTTGGGTCTTGGCAATGCAGCTGTGCAACATACTTTCAACAGCTTCAAAACATTCCCAGAAGAACAAGCTGTGCTTTAGATCTTGTTACCTTTTTTATCAAGTGACCATTTTTAAATACAAAAGGTTTCTGTAGAAATATTCAGACACATGTGTTTTGCTAGAATTTTCTATTATCTAAAGTTAAAGCCAGGTTGTCTTACTGGAGATAACTTAATGAAACGCCATCTATCTCCAAATCTTCACACGTGCCCACTTGTAACTTCTGACTAGCTTTGATTTGTATCTTGTCCAAGCACTGTATGGACATTGACTACAGATTTTTGTAAACTTTGCTTCTATTGAGTCTCATTCCAGGTTATAATAGCTGCAACTCTAAAACTAGGACAAGACCATGACTTCAGATACTGAGGAATAGAGCTTGTGACACCAGCAGGTAAAAACTCAGATGAGCTTTAAAATTGGAAATTGAAGGGGATGTTAGTTTTGGTACAGTTTTGTGGTGGTTTTAACACGTTCAGTTAACAGGTTGGTGCACAATGTGCAGAGTTTGATTTGGTGCCAGTTAGCCCTTTGTATTGTTTAAGCTACAGCTCTCACCTAAATCTAAAACCCTATTGTTTCGGGTTTCATGAAGTAAGCTTGAGATTTTTTTGTCAAGATTTTACCCACTGATACAAGAAATTTGCAAGTGATATCCTGATTTGACAAAACCAAGCAGCTTAAAATGTATTACAGAAGTGGCAACTGCCTGATGCTTCTAATTTCTGCTGCTGTTTGGTGGTAGCTCAGTGAAAAGCAGCAGTAATGCAGGTATCTGTAGGTCAAATAGATGAGCAAATGCGTATCTTATTTTTATGTAAAGCTTTAAAAGCAGAAGCTGTACCTGGGCTTTTGTAGTGTTAGTTATGCGGCAGCATGACAAATGCAAGGTAGGGTTGGCAAAGCTGGCCTTTTACTGCATTTGCCTCAGCAGCAGTGCAGGGTTGCTATGGGGAAGAAGGGAGGCTAATGGGTCTCTCTCCTCTCAAAACCTGTAATGTTGTGACAGCTTCCTTGACCACATTTGCATTGCTGTGACTGCAGAGTTGTTCAAGGGTTTCTTTAATCTTGTCCGCTTCTATTTCTTGTCTCAGATCACCTGAAAGGGAGATGAAATGCTTTTAGTGAATTGCCATGCCATAGTGGCTCCCAACGGTTGTTGTGAGATCAAAGTTTGGAGTACTAGCTGTTTAAAATGAGCTGGTTTAATTTAAATAAATTTCTCTCAATAACTTTTCAGCCATTTAAAGTATTGAACAGTTTAAGGGGTTTTTTTTCTTCAGTTTGACTTCTAAGAACTGATTGAACAGAAGAAAAGCACTTTGTTGAAAATATAATACAGGACAAATTCCATAATTTTTTTTTGCCTGTATGCTTTTTGTTAGTTTTTCATATTAGTAAGACTCAACTCTTAATGTTACAGTTAGTCTATAAAGTGCTAAGTGTATACACCTCTGGGAAAAAGTCTTACAGATCACATCTGTTGTGTCAGTACTTTGTAGTATCACTGAAGGATGCAAATGCATATTCCTGTTCTAATATCTGTGTGGCTATGAGTATACTGCAAAATCCATCTTGTCTGCCAATGTAGAATGGCTACAGGACTTGAAAGGCAGTTCCTGTGGCAGATTCTTGCCTGAGCACAATCATTGTTTTAAATTTACATGATTTATATATAAAAATGTGAGAAACCAGCATGAGATCTTTGGACTCCTGTTTTCAAGGTGGTGGTTGTTTTCAGTTAGTGTCACACATCCAGAATGAGTCTGATCTTCTTCAAAGCATTTAACTCTTCCTTAACCATGGAATGAGAGAAGCTGAAGTCGTATCCTTCATATGTTTTACTAAAAGTTGCTGTGTAAAGGCAGCATTTCTAAAATTGCTATTTTATCTCAGCTTCTGGTTGGCTTACAGCATAGGCAGAAGAACAAATGGATGCCTGCCTGTGGAAGATGATACAGACTTTATTTCTTTGAACACAAAAATGCTGTGGTACATACCAGACTTGGGCCCGCTTGACATTTGTGCATAGTGAATTTGGACAAAGATGCCTTCATTCCAAGGCTCTAATTTTGCTGTTTCATCACTTGATTATGACACTGACTCACTGGAATAAAGCCTTTCTTTTTTTATTCAACTGATGGTTTAATCAACTTTTCATAAAGAAGCTACTTCACTGGTATTTTTGTTGATCAATAAAGAATGAACCTTTTTAATATCCTTCAGTACTCACTGACTGCAACATATCAGGCAGCACACTTCAGTAACGGAAGACACTTGTGTTTTAATCACATATCCATCCTTTCTTCACAGACAACCTAAAATAAAGTTACCTGATTTAAGAAGACTGCACAAAAGGCCCATTGAGTTATATTTTACTTCAGGACTTGTATTATCATCTTGTAGAAGTTTGTGTAAGCTTTGGACGAGCTGTGATTCCTTAAAAGATTCTTCAAGGGTTTCTGAAAAATAAATAAACAAATACCTGAACCGTTACCTGAAAAGAAGCTAGAAAGTGAGCATGCTTGCTTTTTAAAAAATAACATTCCTGACTGGCTTAATTTCAAACTGGATATACAGGGATATCTTGGGCATCTGTTTTCTGTATTGTAGAATTTCTGTATTTTCTGTACAGTGTTTCTTCAGTGGCCTCATGCTGGAAGACAGAACCTGTATACTATAGAGTGTATAAAATAACCTTATAATAGATTAAAAGATGCAATGATCAGTGCTAGAAATATTAACTCACATTAGTTTCCCAATTGAGTTTGAGAGCCTTAATGGTGGACCAACCAGTAAAATGGGCTCTTTACTGTCTTGCTTGTTGGTGTAGGAAATTCCAAATTTAAAGTTTATATCTTCAATTTATCTTCTGATGTAGGTAGATTTCTGTGGTGTTTCTTTATTGTACTAAATTGAGACCCATTTTCAAATGTCATCAGTCATACAGGAAAAATTTGGAAAAAAAAAAAAATAATGTCTCTGAAAAATTAGCTCAAAAGTAGTTAGAACCTTTGCCGTTTTCTCACTTGTTTAAGTTATGGCTTCTGTAAGGCCCTTTTGTCTATGCTTCTGCTTTATTCTCTCCTGTATTCAAGTGTCTGTCTTTTGAAGATTATTTCCTCTGTTTATAGTCTTCGTTGACCATTCAAATTCATAATTTGTCCTTAATTTTGTCTTCATTTAGACTTTCTCATCTTTTTCTCTAGTCTTCATCACTTTTCCTTCTGTTTTTTTTTCTAGTGTGATACTCAACAGATTGTGCTTCCACACAACCTGATCACGTGACTGTACCCTAAACAAAAAACCCTTCAGGCAATTCCTGAAGCCTGTTGCCTTTGTGATCTTCTGGATGGCTGACCTCTTCATTCTGAAGAGCTGAATCTAGACAAGAAACATGCTTTTTTTTACATGTTATGTACAATGACAGTGGTTTTTAATAATTTAGGATCTTGTACAGATAAATGCTTTAAGGAGAAAAATACCTAAATCGATTGCAGATGCTATTGCCAAGGCATTCAGAGCCTCATTCTGCAAGGCAGCATGCTTGCTTGTTGTCATGGAAACCAGGTGCTTCACTGCTTGTGCCTCCTGGATGGCTTTGACCACTTCCTGGTAAAGCAAAGGTAAAATATCACAGTTGGAAATCTGGTTTATGAGTAAAGTAGAATGAAGAGAGAAATGAGATTGCGCTATTCAGCTTCTGAGTAGATGGAAATGTTTTGCTTGCTGCAATGCAAACTAATATTTGAAGACTAGAGATAATACTGCTTTTGACACTGATCATATGTGTCTGTTTAGGGCTGGTCTAATTTGTTTGAAATATTGACACTTGAAATCACGTATATGCATACCGAAATATAAAATTATATATGTTTTGCCTCAAGAGTTTTAGTTTGATCTTATTCCAGTTTTTCATTTCAAGACTTCAGAGTACCAAAGATTAGTTTTACTTTACTGAAGCCTGTGCAGATAGTATCTACTTTTTTATCACTGCCTCAAAGTAAAGCATGGTGGGATGCCTGTGTATAATAGTATGATTTACAAGAAACAGAAGCCTGTTCTAATATGTCAGCAGAGACAGATCACACCAGATTCATCCATCACTAGATGGACAGTGGACTCTTTGGAGCTCCTAGAGGACTGACATTCAGGACAGATCTGGGTTATATTTGCCATTTTAATTGGAAATTTGAAATTAATATTTATGGAAATAAAAAAAATCTTTACCTACTGACCATTTGTCAAGCTGTGCTCAAGCCATGGTAAAAGTTAAGAACTGACAGTAAGTAGCCACGTTGCTTGTTTCTGTGCAGTATCTGTGGCTATGGATAGCACTGCTTTTCTGCTTACCTTCCCCTTACTGGTACTGAGGCAGACCGGAGGGGTTTCTACTGTGAACTTTCATGGTTTTAATGATAAAGTTACATGTGCTGATTAATGCTTAACCCCTAGCTATATTGACAATCTTTTAAAAATATTTGACAAGGTTAAAGTAGAAAAATATTATTAGACCAACAGCTTTCGTACTTGGGATCTGTTGTGACGCAAGATTGATGCTAGCAGTCGGTTTGCTTCTCCACGAACGCTGACATGGTCGTTAGCATTGCACCACTGCACAAGTCTGTTGAGCAGCATGGGGTCTTGGCCCAAGATTTCAGCTGCATCAGCTGAAGAGAAAAGCATCATCAGGAGACATTCAAAATCAGACTTCTCAGTCTTTCTGTCATAGAATTGTGAATGTAGAAGTAGCTGGGACTGCTGGCCTCAGCTCGGTATCCTTTAACAGCTGTAACTGAAGCATTGGGCTTTCAAGGGATCTTGGAAATCTTTATCTGAGGAATGCCAGTTGTGTTAGGGCAGCAGCTCTTGGAGGTGAAGAACAAAGTTGTTCTGATAGACCTAGCATTTTTAAGACGCTACTGAGGCAGGACTTAAAATGAGTAGTTTCATGTCTTTGACAGCAAATACTCTGTTGCTATACAGAAATAATCATGAGGACTGTCTCTTTCCTGTTTGGTTTCTTGCCTTGCTCTTTGAGCCGTGCAGAAATGTTATCATGGGCTCTTCAAGAGACTGTTCTTGCTGGTTTTGTGCTCACAGTAATGGTGATAATTACTGTTGGTATCATATGGAAAGCCAAGTCTTAGTACAGAATTGCAGCATGTCTGTAATTGCATGTCTCAGGTCTTAAGAGTGTGTGTTGAACTGTGTATTTGGTATCATCAGAACTTACCCCAGAGGTTGTAGGAGCCTTTTAATTTGCATTCCCCTGTGTTTCAGGAACTCTCTCTCAAGACTTGCTAGAAGTATTAATCTGTGTGGCTGACGTGAAAAAAAAGCCTCCCTGGATAACTTTTACTAAGAAGTAGAACTCCAAGCATATGCAGTGGTTTAAAGCTTGTTGCCACTAAGGGAGACTACTCCCAAAGCTCTTAGAAGTTCAGCAGCAAAAGGAGCTTTACTCATGTATCAGTATTGCATCAAGTCTAATGCATGGTTCCCTATGAGTCCTATTGCAATTTAGTAACATCTCTTTAAAGTGCTGTGGATCAAAATTGACTAACTGGTGTAAAGTGATTTCCCAAGCAAAGAAGAAATGCAGATATAAGGGTGCTGAGAACTGAAATACTCTGTTTGACCAAATATGTTAGGCAGGGGTTCAGCCCTGAGAATGTCCTGGTAAATACTGCTTCAGTAATTTCAGTTAGTTGATTCTGTTCAGTACTTGAGACTTTGAAATTCTACATCATGGATCAGCTGAAATTTTCTCTAAGTGAAAGGTGCCAGGAGAAAGATAAGACAGTAGTAATGTGAGCAATATAAGCTGCCTTTTTGTAGAGATTGAGTGCTCACCCATTTGGCTTTTAACACAAAAGTGCTGTTTTGTAAACTGCCAAACCACTGTTTCCATGTGTTCCAGTTGATAATGAACTGAGGATATAAATGCACAGAACTGGACACCAGATGTAGCAACTGAGATGCAAGAGTAATCACAGGACAGATGCTTACTTTTTGGTGTAGAGTTATTCTGTTTGCAAAAATACACTGTGGTTATAAAGTTGAATTCAAATGTAGGAGGTCTCATGTAGTTATTTGTAACTAAGTTTTTCTTGTTTATTTCATTTTGGTCATCTTAAGTCCTGTCTCATGCCTGCCCCCCACCCTGCCCCCAGTGCTGGAGGACCAGAGCAGATGAGCATGAAATGTGTGTTGTGTGTTCTGAAGGTGTTCATAGGAGAAGTGTACATTCTCTAAGAAGGGCTATATAGGGTCTGTGAGCTTTTCCCCATCTTTTTCTGGTTTACCCGTCTTTTAAAATAGTTCTAGGCCTGAAAGAAGTTAACCAGGGAGATCCTTGCTCCTTTGGAAGCAAATTCAGAAAGGGAAAAGTCTGCATGTTTTTAGAAGTCTGTGAAGTTTCTCTCTTGGAGTTTTGCTTGAAGCATAGACTTGAGGAAGAACCAACATTAACATCCAGAACAGAAGGGATAGGTTTGGCTGATAGGAGTGTCACCCTGTTTCTGTTTGTTTACCTGTCCCTTTCTCTCTCTGTGGCATTTCTTTTGAGATACTCTGGAAAGGGTCAAATAGAGTGTGCACCAGAAAGTCAGTGTCAGTAAACCACGATTACTTTGGACATTTTGCAGAAACTGTAAGTTAACCTGTACTCTTGCTATTTTGAGTAGAGAGATGAGGAAGGATGGATGCTTCCTTTTTTTATTTGTCTAGTACACTAAGGAACAATCCACAGGTCAGAATCCCACAAGGAATCTTTGAGTTTCTAGCCTAGTTGAACATGTTTGTTTTGAGATGAGAGTTACTTCTTGTTGCACAACCACCTGCATATTACCTGCTGTAGCAGAAAGCCTTTTTTTTTTCTAGGTCAGATGTTACATGTTAGTCTGAGGAGATCATGGTAATCCATCTTAGTACAGAAAGCTGAAAGAAGTAAGAGGGTGGTGAATATAACCAGTCTAAGAGGTTTGTTCAAAGGAGAGCTGTCTTGACCCAGTTTGACAGGGATTTCCTGATGTCTACCAGCAGTAGAGCTCTTTGAAACAAAACCAATTAGTTATTTTTAACAGGAACAGGAGGACCTTTTAACATGACGAATTTAAATTAATTTTGTGTATGATTGAACTTTAAGTTGAGCTGAAAGTCATCTGGCTGTTGAAGTGCGCAAATTCTTCTGTTCCTCTGAAGCAAAACAGTGAAAAAACCAGGAATTAATGTTAACGTCTCTTTAATGTATTGAAGCTGACAGATCTGACTGCATTTTTTTATAGTTAAAAATAAACATACTTATGTCTTCTAGTCTGTAGGCCTTAGCATGTCCAGTGATTGCTAGAGTAACAAATTATACTAGATAATGCAATTAAACTGATTTAGTGTGGACTTCTTAGTAGATGTGTATTTTTAAGAGTTTCAGGCTGAGTTAGTTAAGGGCAATGTTAGCTTATGGGTAGACAGAATAGAAAGTAATTAAAGATGAGAGAATTGTCTGTGAATAGGCAGGAATGGGTAAACACTGAATAGACTACAGATTCAGAAGTTGTACCGGTTTGTGCCAAATTCTGACTTTTTGTACCATTTGGTAAATAGCATAGAGAAAAGAAAAAAAAAAAAAAAAAAAAAAAAAAAAAAAACAAAACCTTAGATCTGTGGTATTATGTCTCAATTTTAAAAGCTAAATGGTCCCCCTGTGACAATTGAGATACAGCTTCAGAGGAATGACCTTGTAAATGATTTCTTCCTTTAAAGCTTAAGAAGAAGAGACTTAAGTTTCTATATGTCTTGCAATGTCCGTTTCCTACTGTGGTGAAATAGAAACAGATGAATAGAATGAGTAGATGAATAGATTCCTACTAGGTGAAATAGAAGTGAAAGCAGCTTTTTACTGGGTGGAAATGTATGCAAATTGTGTGTTAGACCTAAATTTTAGATCATGTGTATTAATTTGAAAAGGGTGCAAGTAGCTGTCATATCAAAGTGCTGTAAATGAGTGCAGCATGGAATGTAGGAGAGTGGGTTTTTTCCCCTTCCTTATAACTAATGAATTTGTGATTGTAATTGTTTCATATCCGCTGTCAGTTCCCATTGTAAAACAGTAATAATTTTTCTGATTTTGACCTATTGTTATTCCTGCACATCAGGGTGGTTTGTACTGATTGATTAGTGTTCTAGAGCAACTGCTGTGGTGATATGAAAGAAGTAGAACACAACCAAAAAAAACAAACCCCACAACACTTATTCTTGTGTTCTGCTCTGATAAGAAGCTAGACAAGTCTGAGAATAAATGAAGATATTGTAGTAGTTAATTGGCATAATTCTGACATTGTGCATGTTTATCAAAATGCAACTATATGCACAGAGTGAGTGTTTTGCCTTTGTGTACCCACCTCTGTGTAAAACTGAATGAAGTACAAGTAGATAATCCCATATTTTGATATGCAAAGTCAATTCAACATTTGAGCCACACAAGCAAGGTAAATCTGGCAATGTGTATAAAGAACCTGTGTGACAGGTAGAAACTAATGTCTTCTGCCTCTCTCCACCCAACTCCCCTTGATCTTTTATATTCTCCAGTTCTTCTATTGATTTGCTTTCCTGTGATTTACCATGATAAATCATTAGCCTGATTCTTTTTTCCATCATACTCATTCCTTGCTGGTATATCTCTTGTGGAAAACATCTTCCTTGTAGGACTTCACCATTTCTTACTGACTATTGCAGATTTTTCCATTTGGTTTGTTTCTCATCTATCTCTGAGGCTGACTGGGTCATTATGGAAGGTCTGCAGCCTCCAGCAGTCATATCTGGAACCTCTCCACATTGAGTGCAGTTAGGTTAATAGGATGCTTTGTGGTTTTCTCAACATCTGTTGTCTTGCAGGGGAGGAGGCGGTGTATAGTTGACATAAGTAAACATTAGCAATTCCCTACCTTGACCATCTGCTAACATCCGTAGTGTTCCAAGGAGTTTAAATTGTACAGGAGGCATCTCTGACCTTAGTAGAGTTTGAATCCGTTCTGCCACGCCTTCCTCCAGCATTTGAACCTTGTTAACAACTAGAAAATGGGAGAAAGATGCTGATATAAAGCTCAGTAACCACACAAGCATCTGAAAATGTAGGTACGACATTAACTGTTCTGAATTTTACGCTCTTAGCAACGGTCCAACTTGTTAGAGTGCTCAGGAATCAAGTCAGGGCTACCCGGCTGTTTAGTCTCCTCTTTTGATCTAAAGAAATCCTAGGAATTACTTCTTAGGATATGTTGATTACTTTTGAACGTAGGCCTGCCTCGAATTAAGTACATAAAAGAGGATAATTGCAGGATTGTTGTTTCTCTTCCTTTTTCTAGTTGTAAGAGATTATCCATCCACTCACCCACTCACATGAGCAGTCCTTTCCTATGCTTGCTCATTTTAACTGAACTGGGTGACAGAAGTGGTTTACATAGACATATTTCTTGAGAACGTATTTTCTATTGGAGCTATTTTTATATGAGCTCACTGATGCCCTGTTGTTCATGCCTTTGCTTCCTTCCTCTCCTAATTCTTGTGCCTTTGCTCCAGTTTTTAGTGCAGTAATCCCTAACAATAATCAGAAGCTTGTCTAGAAAATGTCCTAATACTGCTTAGCTGTGCTACCAAAAGCTTATTCCTCCAAAGCAATTTTCTTCCCATCTTCTGCATGCCTTTTTTTGAGGGGAGGGTAATGACAAGACAGTAAAATTAGGGAGATAATTGTTCTATGCCTTTCTCCTTTTATTAGGAAAATTGAGAAGCAGACACTGTTATGTAATTTGCTCTTAATTGTCCTTGTTTTTCAGTGGCACAGACTGACCCCATTCATGAGAGCATAATGACTTTTAAATTTTTTTTATAAGTACCTGTTCTCTTAAGATCACTATTTGAATTGAAGACTTCTCATTTGCCCATTTGCAAGTATTGGCCCATATTTAATTAATTTTTATGATTTATGTGGATTTGCACTCAGTCTTTTTTTCTTTTTCCCTCAAGTAACAGATTATATTGTTGAAAGTGATAGAGTTTGTGTATTTCTGGAAGTGATATGTTATTGTGAGGGAATGTCTTACAGCTTCCATATTCTAATGTTTTTACAAATTGAGAATTATAGTGTAGGGATAGCATTTTAAGTGCTATGCATTGTCCACACAGTTGGAATGATCTAAAATGGTTCGTAATAGACTTGAACAGAAGAGATAACTGTATTGATAACTGTATTTATACACTGATGTTTTGTAATTCAGAGTTGAGCCTTTAAAGTACAGCTGCAAAGAATATTAAGATCTGGTACTATGTGTAGCAGACAGTGATATAGGGGTAAAGTTGTAGGTTGCAATCACACTTTTCTGGAGTTTTATATCCTATAGTTTTTTATTCATTAAGGAACTCCCAAGAAAAGCCTGGGCTCGGCATCGCAAAAAGCGGGCCTTGTTATTGAGGAATGGATTCTGTTACGAGTTAGAATGCGATCATCTCTTTTGTCAGGGGGAACTACATCAAAGTTGCTCTCTTTCCAATTATTAATAATTAACTATTATCTTTGCTGCTTGTAATCATTAAATCCTATTGTATGTATTGCAGGAGTGAAGTCAATGAGAACTAAGCTAAGCATGGGACACCCCTAGGCTTATAGAAAAAAATCCACCTTTTCATTCTAATAGATAACTATATTTTGTCTACTAAATTACTCTCCTAATTTCAGCTTGATGGCTCTCTGATTTTTCACAATTCTATGATTATCTTCTAATAGCTTTGTGTTAGGTTGTAACTGATGTAAGCTAGCTGGCTTGCATGGTCGAAATACTGCATACTCTGTTAGCATTAAAAAACAACATACGCAGGCCTCTTATCTGTTGATGTGAATGGTGATAGAAAATCTCTTCACAAGAAGCAGTGAGGGGTTTATGGTGTGAAATACATATATTAAAATACTGAATAGACAGACATGGCTGGCTATTATGATCCAGAGAGTGTGGTAATACTATGACACAAACTAAATAAATTATTTGAGACCATATAAAAAATAAGTTGAAAGAAATAGGTGAAGTTCTGAAGAGAGCTATCTGCAAGAAGAAATTAGTTTACATCTGGCTTTAAAAGGAAGTGGACAAAAAGTAGCAACTGGTATATTCTGGGACTCTCACTTGTTCAGAGCAATGACTACATATAAAACTGTTAAACCAAGCACACTGGCTAGCTTACATAAAATTGGCAGACAACTTAATGTTCTTTTATTTTCGGAAAATAGCACTGGTGTCATGCTCTTCTCTAGAGTACTATATAGCCGTGTAAGGACTGCTTTCCAGGGTGCTGTACTGTTAAGTCTCTAGCAAAACATTTTGACCTGAATTGCACTTTCACATGGGAGCAGTAAATTTGAGATGAGAAGCGGCACAATTTTCTGATGTGTATTGGCAAAACATCACAAGAGTAGAATGATAGAGCCCTTGGGGTTGGAAAGGACCTTTAAAGGTCTAGTCCAACCCCCGAGCAGGGACATAACTAGATCAGATTGCTCAGAGCTCTGTCCAGCCTGACCACGACTATTTCCAAGGATGGGGCATCTACCACCTCTCTGGGCAGCCTGTTCCAGTGTTCCACCACTCTCATTGTAAAAAACCCTTCTTCCTTAGATCTAATTTAAGTCTACCCTCTCTTTAGTTTAAAACCATTACTCCTTGTTCTGTTGCAACAGGCCCTACCAAAATGTCTGTTCAAATATTTCTTATATGCCCCCTTTAAGTATTGTAGTTTTAAAGTGTGTTACAAAGGCTTAATTTGCAATAAATATTGGCTTTATAGAAGAGGAGCAGATGTATGAAATCCCTACTACCATCTGTGGTGTGATAGTTTTAAATACAGAGTATGGACTATAAGATTATCACAGCTATAAACCCTGTTCTGCATTTCTGTCTTGAACTGCTGTATGCTCTTAGTATGAAACCCCTTTCAGTAGCTGGCAATGACATCATACTTCATTATATTTAGACCCTTTATGTACATGAGAAGTCCTGATAAATTATTCAAACGTATGTGTCTCTGCAGGGGTAAAAAAGCTCAGTTGCCCCTCATAATACAAGGAACTGGATTCGATGACTTGGACAGAGCTGCACAGATCTCCATTAAATGATCCATCTTTTCAGACAGTCACAGTAAGTTGTCTTCAAACTCTGTACCTGGTATAGCAAGGTTTCGAAGTGCACTGAGTGCAGCATGTTGAACAGAGATGTCCCCACTCTCTACATGTTTCTCCAAAAGATCCAGAAGCTGGTGTATGACTCCCAGCTGTACCATTCGTACACAGTTGCCATCTGAAGAAAGAGGCAAAACCAAGCAGGTGAGAGAGAAATGCAGTGATTGAAATTAATCATGCAAGTTGAGAATTCAGGGAGTCTTTGCCTTGACTGTTTTCATGTCTTGATAGGATTGAGACTATAGCTTTTGCATTGTTTTTTACAGCCTTCACCTCTAGACATAAGTAAAGCTTAGCTTGACAGAGCTTTCTAGGGACAGCTATTGTCATATTCAAAAGCATATATTCTCCGGTCAATTGCTTCCTCAATGCTACTTTATTTTCCTTTCTGTATATGGTGGAATACTGCTTTCCATTTCTCCACATGATAGCTTTAATACTCCTATTTTGCTATTTTACTACTCAAGACTATTGTGAGATCAGGGATCTTATCCCTCAATGGTGAGTCTGTGAGTTTAATTACTAAGTTTGTACTGATGTTATTTCTTGTATTGAATCAAATAATTTGTCATTAACTATTTGTTGAAATAGTCAGACCTAGCCTTTTCATACCTCTTTTGAGAAACTCACTTTCTGAAATGAGAAGTCTAATTGTATTGCGCTCATACGAAGCTAGGAAAAGATGAGTTGATCTAGAGTTCTGATCTGTTTAATACGGGTGAAAGAGCAGGTTTGTACGTTAGAAAGAACTACCATTTTTCCCAGTGCATGCTCTGCAATATTTTGTCAGCATGTTTCCCTCTGAGAACTTGCTCTACCGAGGTGACAGCCCTTTTGTCATCAGAAGCTACATAGTTCATCTTGATAGGAGGTGAGCTCTCCTGAAGAGCAAAAGGAAACCCTCCATATTATGGTCTCCATCCTTCCTGAAGAAAGTGTTTTGAAGATACCATGTGGCAAATATTTTTCTATATTTTACTTTATGCAGTTTATTATACCTCAAGACAAGCACGTTCCTGACACTGGTCAACATTTCGTTACTGCTGTGCTGTTACCATGTGAATGTTGTTTGCTCAAACATGGCAAAACAAGTGTAAATGCTATATAGGAATACCACATCTTCACCTGGAGTAAACAGTTATCCATGGAACTGTACAGAATTCATGCAAATACAGAATATGGCCAAAAGTATCTTTAGGTGTTTCTCATGGTACTAACTGCATGCCTAAAATGTACAAATTTCTAATCTTTGTGCGTATACCACTTAAGAATGGCTCTAGTAATTTTAGCACCTTTGCTGGTTTGAATATTGTTTTCTCCCCAAAGTAGTAGAAACAATTCCCTGTTGTCTTTTGAACTAATGCCTACTATTCCTTTAATCTCAGCACTTCAGTTACTAGCATTTTTTTTCTCTGTATTATTACATATGTTAAATAAGAATTTGTCAAATGTTTGTAAAATGTAAGTGGATATTTTCATGAGAACTGTCAGTCTGTGAAATCAATCAAATTCTACTTATGCAAAAATCTTTTTATATGAATTTATGCATACATTCTCTAAAGCTGACGGCTTTGCTTGTGATTCTTCAGATGTTCTCTTGCCTAGTCCTAATCTATGGAGATCAGAGTATATGAGAAAAATTGCCCAGTCCTCTTTAGGAACAGGTTCTCTAGGAATAGACCATCTCTTTTGGTCTGACAAAATTCTACAGGCAAAATACTTTGATCTTCATATTGACTAACCTTAATTGAAATTAATTTCTCTCCTCCCCCCACCTCTCAAACCAAAGAATGGCAGAGCATTTTTTTGCTCTTGTAGTAAAGTGCAATTAGGCAGAACCCATTAATACATGCCTTACTTTGTCACAGAGCTCCAAACTGGTTCTCTCTCCTATGGAACTTTGCTTGGAGAGCAGCAGAACCTTCAATTTAATGGTTTATAGTTAAAGTTTGATAGGAACAGCCACTTTCATAGCTGTAAAAAGCTGTCTGTCATCTTTTCACTGCCTCAGAAGTAGTTTGATGCTTAGATCAGATTTCCATAGGATTTTTTTTGTCTCTTAAAGGTTGTGCGTACATCAGTGACACATACTGGGCCCTGAGAGGGATTATTCACTTTTTCCACATGAAACTTCTAATGGGTTGTGGGGAAGAGGGAGAGAGAAGAGTGAGTGACAAAGCAAGCCATTTAGCTGAATAAATTGAAGGTAGCCAGTTTAAAGACACCAAGGGCATTTCTATGGCATTTGTAGAATCATGATGCCCAATGGCTGATTTGAAGCAAGGTATAAGACAGGAAAAAAAGGGAGTCTAGAAAGGAAGTTTGGGGGAGATGGAGAGATGGATATATGATTAGCTTGCTTTAAAAAAAACCCAAACAAACATGAGGCTGACAAACTAAACATTCAGACAGATGTGAGGGAATCTTTTATGATAATTAAGCATGTAATGCAGAAAGTTGAGCAATTTTAAAAAAGCTCCTTTTTGTTAACTGATTTTGGGCCCAGTACAGTAGCTATCAGTAGAGAAAGAGTAGAAAACATGGTGGGGTATCTTCTGCTGACTGATTGAGCACAGCATGCCTTCCAGGAGTCTGTTTATAAGAGTTTCTCTATTTCTTTCAGCATAAATATTAAGGCTCACTACTTTCTATAACAGGAAAGTGTAAAAGGTAAAAATGGCTTGAGTTTTTCGTGTTTCCTCCTGGTGTCTCAGTAATCCTTCCTTCCTAAAAGTGACTTAAAACCTAAAACATCAGTAAGTGTGGGGTTTTTTTTGTATTTCGAACAAATATATTTGCTATGAAACATTTCCAGAGTTTCCGTTCTAATGTGTGATTTAGGAAAAAAAAATAGAGGAGCTTGCATACCTGACCACCCCATTTTTCAGAGTTATGTCCCTCAGGCTACTTCAGTATCATTAGCATTTAATTCAAAGGTACGCAAGTCTCCAGTCTGCAGAAAAGCAAAAATGTTACTGTTTCAGAGCCAGGGAGCAATGAAATCTAGTGTTGTTTTTCTCTCCACTCACAAACAGTGGCTTTCCATCTTGGAAGGGTAGAGAATAACCAACCTTACCATTTTTTGTAAAAGTAGCAATAGCTGTTGCTCCTGTCTCTGTAGCTGCATGTGTTTGGATGTGATGCAAGTACCAATGCTCTGGGAGGTGATACCACATCCCTTAGCAAAGAAGTCCTGCATGTACTTGGCATGAGAAAGAGAGACCATCTCATGACTGTTTATAATTAGCTCCAAAGTGAATTGTTCTGTCTTTGTGGAGATACGAATAAATGATGACTTAAAGATTGTTGTTATAGTTAATAATTTAAGACTTAGTGTTGATTGTCTTGGGATTGGGGGTGATGGATGCAGTATAAGTGTCCAGTTCTTGATGTTTTATTCTTTAATCTGTGTTTCCCGAAATACATCATCACAAGACCACCTAAACTAAGTTACTGTTAAGTCTTCAGCCTTTTTGTGTTGTTCTTGAAATCAGCTTAAAGATTTAGTGAAAAATGTAGGTTAGCAATGTGTGTAGTCTTTTCCTAATAGATAGATACAGAATTTACATTATGAGGAAGTTCTTACATTTCATTTGTTAATCCAAGTGTTTGAAATATGCATATAGATGCGCAGGAAACATGAGTAGTTCAATACCATGTGAACTTAATCTGATTATTACCTTTAGATTTAAAACTGGCTCTTAGGCCAGTTTTGAAAGTAAACTTACGGAAGCAGAGTGTGAAATGACAATCACAGGTACAGCTATAATGGTCTAAAGTTCTTGTGTTTGTGTTCTGTGTAGGAGCAGTCACAGTGGTATTAGATGACTTGAGGCAACACATGTATATACTTGAAGGAAAGTTTGTCAATGTGAGTGCTAGGCTCCTATAAAAAGTGAAAAAGTGTGGTGTCTGGGAAGAATTTCCCTAAGGATTATGAAACAGGTTGCAGATGTGTCCCTGTTAAGGAAATGAAAACAACAGAGCAGGTAACTCCTGTGCTTAAGGGTACTTTTTGATGTTGTTTGTTTATGTATCTAGACTGTCAGTATTTCTTCTTTTTTTTTTACCTCCAAGAAGCAGAGAGACAATAAGATCTGATGCAGCCTTCACAATGCATGTATCTTCAGCTTGTGAACTACCCTGGAGCCTCATCAAGATCTCGGACAGCACCTCTTGCACGCCTGCCTCCACCAACTGCACTTTCAGGACATCTGTAGAGATCACAGTAAAAGCACACTAAAAGCTTCTTGGGTCTTTGTTGAAGTGTTTCAAACTAGGAAGCTGTCCTTGAACTTTAGCCAGTTTTTTCACATGCATTCACTGTTTTGGTTCTGGTTGTAACAGACATTCTGGTGCTAGGATGATGCCAAGGCAGAATGAGCAAAGCTTCTGCATTGATCTGTGACACGTTTGTATGGCCAGTCATGAGTTCTGATTTCTTTAAAATATGTATCAGGTATCTACATATTTTCAGTGGATTCTTGTTGACGCTTGTTACACCACTGCATAGTGTATATATCAGTGATGTTTGGTTGTCATTTGTTTATTTAAAAAAAAAAAATCATCTAAATCATCTAGTTTGCTTTCCTGTTACACGCCATGGAGAATATGAGTTTGAATCTGATATCTTATGGATCCACTGAAATAGAGTGGAATGCAACACTCTACCTCCTTTCTTTGTTGTCTCACCGATTAAGCTTCAAAGTCTTGTTTGGGCCAGGATTTCATATGTTCTTGTGGCTTAATAACACTGAAGGGATTGCTGGTTCCATTAGTAGGATCCCATGGCAAGCTCAGAACCCAGAGTTTATGCTAAGTAGCAGTACCCTGTCTCCCCTCATTTCCCCAAGCTGAAAGGAGTCTTACCATTTTCTGCAAGTGCTTGCAGAACCTCAAAGACAATTTCTAACCTCTCATGGTTCTCCGCTCTTCTCAATTGTTTCACCAGCTGTTCAGCAACCTTTGTTCTGCTTAGAGCTTCCTTGGCTGTATCTGTGTATACGATAAGACATTCAAAATCGTGACTTTATCATCTGATTAGATGTTAAAAGCATATCTCCCTATAATCTGAAGGGATTAGACACTACTTTGCTTTTGAATGCTTTTTCTGTTTTTATAGACACTTCTGTCCCTTTGGACAGCACTGAGTCAGCAAAAACTCTACCTCATCCCTCCTTTCCCACCTTCTTTCTTTAACACTGTTTTTGTGTAATTCCTGTAGCTATGACCTTATAATAGCTGTCAAATTAATCCTGGCTTAATTCCACTGATTTATAAATCCACCTGTAGTATGATTATTCAATATATCAAATTGGCACATGCCAGTCAGTAGTAGTATATTTTCTGCCTTGGTTAGATGATTCTAGTCTTGCTCGGATCCTAAACATCTACAGAATATATGTTAACAAAGATCAAATCTTTTTTAAAGCTTGCTGCTGCCTGATGTAGAACACATTTGAATGGAATATGATATTAAGTAATATAAGAGATCTATAAAGGACAGACATCACACTGTCACATTATCTTCTAGTGAGACCATAACCCCTTCCCTGCCTCTTCCCCCTAAATGCAGGAGGCAGGAGATCAGATTGTAGTCAGACCATACACAAAATGTAGTAATAATTTTCTGCTTGGTCCTTTTCTTCGATCACTACTTAAAACTTGTGTAAAATAGGGCAGATGTATTTTAAATCAGTGGAAATGCCTTTGGTTTGAAAATTGTGTGAATGAAAATGGAAGCTATTTCATTAAGGTGGTATATAAACTTAATTGTTAAACAGAAATAAATTTTTAATAAATGAGTATTAATGTACTATATCTGAAGTAGTTGAAACTGTCAATTTACCACATGAAGTTATGATCTCTATACTATTTTTCTAGGTCAAAAGCTGTCTATTAAATCTTAATTGTTTTAATGTAGTACCAGCAATTTCTGGTACTCCAGGAAAGAGTAGTTACTTCACCAGTACAGACACTGTTTCCAGTTCCTGCTCAAGTATCAATAGTGTTTAAAAACCAAAACCCCAGACAAAAAACCCAATCCCCCCAAATAACCCAACAAAACCAACCCTCCCCAAAACCCCCCAAAGCAAACACCACCACCCCCCAACCTGTGGGCTTTCTGCATGTACATGAAAAGGCAGTGACAATGGGAAGATGGTATTTTGCTCCAAGATGCAAAAACATTTACTTACCAAAGTCTGCAAGATTGCATAAAGCCAATAGATCAACATGGACAAGTGGCTCACTCTCTGCATAATCAGTTAATATTCGGACTAGGGATGTGATTACTCCTACCTTCACCAACTCTTCCTGAAGATCCCCTGGTAATAGTAAGCATAGAAGTTAATTGGTCACTATTTAATGCCCTTTAAATCCGTAAAAAGGGTCCAACTGACATGCTTTGCAGTAAGATTGTCTGCTTTTTTCTGCACTGTTAGGATTTGTACAGCTTTTGTGCTGTGAGTTCAAGACTAATGTATTTGTGGGGGAAATGCAGGTTCGGGACAGAGTTTTGCTAAACCTCCTGGTTTTACTTTGACTGAAGGAATTAAGCCACTGTAAAAATATATAAGGGCATTTGCATGAGCATCTCTACTACTAGTGCAGCTTGTAAAGCAAGTTTTGATGGACTGTATATCTTGGTATTTATCTTAAAGTTGGATGAGGAATGGACAGGAACCCTCTCAGCTAAGGGGAATCTCAGCCTTATTATCCTATGGCTTCTTTTGTTCTGAAGGGAGATGGAATGGACTGGAAACCCAAGATAAAGCATAGTCTCATGATAATTCTTCTTACTGTACATCATCATCAGTGTTCTGAGTTGTACAGTAAATGTCTGTATACCTGATTTTGGCATGTTAGAATAATGATATTTTTCTTTAAAAAAAATAATTTATAAATTATTTTTACACATTACCAATCCCTGGGCTATTACAAGACATCATTGAGAGACACACTGCTTTAAAATTTATCTGGGGAAATTATCCTCTTCCAGTTTTTTACTGTTAGTTGCTCAGCATGTAGGGAGTCTTGGGGTACTTGAATTCAAGGTATCTGTGGAATTTTTATAGGCTGAGTAAGGTTCTCAAGCAGGTGTAAATTCATGTGACTTAAGGTAAGTCAGCAAAGTACAGTAAATAGAAATTAATTTGGTCCTGGTTCTAATGTACTAAATACAGTTGTCTCCATGTGCAGAATTACTGAGGAAAACATTGATAACTTTTCTTTTTTGTAGCTTGTCTTGTAATGAATAAAAGCTTAATATCTAAAATGATTTTGAGAATGAAAAGAACTATGAATGCAAAGTTGGACAGTAGTAGTTACTTAACAGTACAGTGACACTGCTTTTGCTGTAGTTTCTTGCTGAGAGGTAGACAGCAACTTGCGTGACAACATGTATGACAGACACCAGAAGGTGTCTGGGTGCTATTGTACAATTATAATGCAGTCAGGGAATCACTGAAGTTAATTTTTCTGTAATGTATTTATTACTCTGTTAGTAATAGAAATTATTAAAGCATGTATCTTAGTCATCTTGTCAAACCTGTGCTGTGCCTGTGTTCTGACAGAAGTGAAGCAGATTTGCAGTATGGCCATGTGCTGTAGTAATACTGGTGCACAGTGGTTGCATAAGTCTTGCATGTAGTCATATGGGGAGGGTTTTTTTAAACTACGATGTGGCATTCCTTGGCAAATAAATGTAATTTGCAGGGGGCTAGTAGAATCTGCACTAGGTAGCTATCATGCTTGGATTTCCTAGGAACAGTGCAAGGAGACAAAGCCATAGCTTTCTAGATGAAGCTACACGGGTCCACACTAGAAAAACAAGAGAAAGTAGATTGAAGGCAGAGAGAAATGGGTAGGAGATACTGGGTGAAAAGTTTCATATTACCTCTAGTATGCAATAAATATTTTTGCTCAGTCTGGGAATTAAAGGTGTGGTGATTTAGGCCACTAAAATCTGGGACTGGAGACCATGTTGCAGTTGTCCCTCCCCCACACTTGGACCAAGTAGGGCACAAAACCCGGGGTTGAAATAAAGAGAAATTTAATACAACAGTGTAATAAATAACAATCTGAACAACAACAATAGCAATAATATTAACAATAAACAGTAATAACAATAAACAAGACAAAAGATATACAGAGAAATATTGCAGTGACAGTAGCCAGCCTGCCACGCGTGCTTCCTGCGACAAAAGCTACAAAGGAAAGCTTCACGTGCTGCTGCGCTGGCCCTGACATCAGCAAGGTATGAATAAACTGGTTGGAGATCCCTTCCCCCTGCTTGGGAGAAACTTAACACTATCCTACCTGAACCAGGACATAATACACCCCTTCATTCCATACCATCTGCGTCATGTCCAGCTGCCATTCAGCAGTTAACAAAACAACAATTAACAAAGGCCCAGGATCGTGTTCCGGGCGGTGGTGTGGGGCACTAGGTGAGTTTCCATCCATCTAGTGGTTACTTCCACCATTGTGAGCACATGGCACTTCCTGTGGCAGGCCTGTGGCAGTATGATGTAGTCGATCTGCCAGGCCTCTCCATATCTGTATTTCAGCCATCGCTCTCCATTTCACTGGGGCTTCATCCGCTTGGCATGTTTGATTGCAGCACACATCTCACATCCGTGGATGATCTCTGCAGTGGTGTCAATATTGAGGTCCATCCCTCGATCTCGAGCCCACCTGTATGTTTTATCTCTACCTTGGTGGCCTGAGGTCTCATGGGCCCACCGGGCTATGAACAGTTCACCTTTGCGCTGCCAGTCCAAGTCCACCTGAGTCACTCTAATCTTAGCAGCTTGGTCCGCCTGCTGGTTGTGTTGATGTTCATCAGTGGCCTGACTCTTGGGTACATGGGCATCCACATGGCACACCTTCACAATGAGGTTTTCCACACGGGTTGGAGTATCCTGCCACACCTCAGCAGCACAGATGATTTTACCCTTACGTTACCAGTTGCTCTGTTTCCATTGCTGCAACCATTTCCACAGCGTATTTGCCACTACACACGAGTCAGTGTAGACGTAGAGCATCAGCCACTGTTACCACTCAGTAATATCCAAAGCAAGCTGGATGGCTTTCACCTCTGCGAACTGGCTCGATTCACCCTGTCCCTCAGCAGCTTCAGTGACCTGTCGTGTGGGACTCCATACAGCAGCCTTCCACTTTCGATGTTTTCCCACAATACAACAAGACCCATCAGTGAACAGGGCATATCGCTTCTCCTCATCCGGCAGTTCGTTATATGGTGGGGCCTCCTTAGCACGTGTCACCTGCTGTTCTAGTGACATCCTGGAATCTGCTCTCTGGCCAGTTCATGATCACCTCCAATATTCCGGGGCAGCTGGGGTTCCCTATTCGAGTTTGTTGTGTTATCAAAGCAACCCATTTACTCCACATGGCATCTGTTCATGATGTGTGAAGGAGGCTTTTCCTTTGAATATCCACCCCAGCACTGGCAGTCGGAATGCCAGGAGGAGCTGTGTTTCAGTGCCGACCACTTCTGAGGCAGCCCGAACTCCTTCGTATGCAGCTGGTATCTCCTTCTCAATTGGTGTATAATTAGCTTCAGAACCTTTGGTCCCTGGCTCCAAAAGCCTAGAGGTCGGCCTCGGGTTTCTCAAGGTGCTCTCTGCCAGAGGCTACAGGTAGGGCCATTCTTCTCGGCTGTGGTGTAGAGCATGTTCTTAACCTCCTGCACTTCCCGGACTGGCACAAGGGCTACTGCTTGGGCAATCTCCCGCTTAATTTGTTCAAAGGATTGTTGTTGCTCAGGGACCCATTCAAAATCGTTCTTCTTATGGGTTACGTGGTAGAGAGAGCTCACAATCAGGCTGTAGTTCAGGATGTGCATCCTTCAGAAGCCCACAGCGCCCATGAAAGACTGAGTCTTCTCTTTAGAGGTTGGTGGGGCCATGGCTGTTATTTCCATTGTTTATCACCTCTATTGGGATGTGGTTATGCCCATCTTGCCATTTTATTCCTAGTAATTGAATTTCCCTTGCAGGCTCCTTAACTCTTTTTCTTAATGGCAAAGCCGGCCTTCAGGAGGATTTAAATTATCTTCTTCCCTTTTTCAAAGACATTCTCGGCTGTGTCCCCCCATACAATGATATCATCAATGTACCGCAGGTGTTCTGGAGCCCCACCTTTCTCCAGTGCAGTATGGACCAGTCCATGGCAAATGGTGGAGCTGTGGTTCCACCCCTGAGGCAATCACTTCCAGGTGTACTGGATGCCCTCCAAGTGCAAGCAAACTGTGGCCTGCACTGGTGCTATTGGAATGGAGAGAACACATTAGCAATGTCAATCTTGGCTTACCACATGGCCTCCTTCGACTCCAGTTCATACTGAAGCTCGAGCATGTCTGGCACTGCAGCACTCATTGCTGGCATAACTTCATTCAGGCCATGGTAGTCCACAGTTAGCCTCCATTCACCATTAGGCTTTATCACTGGCCACAGAGGGCTGTTGCAGCGTGAGTGAGTTTTGCTGATCACCTTCTGGCTTTCTAGTTGATGGATCAGCTGATGCATGGGGACCAGCGAATCTCGGTTGGTGCAGTACTGCCGCCGGTGCACTGTCCTGGTGCAGTCGGCACTCGCTGCTCCTCAACCTTCAGCCGCCCCACCACTGAGGGATCCTCTGAGAGGCCGGGTAAGGTGGACAACTCTTCAACCCCCTCCAGGGCAGATACAGCAAAAGCCCACCGGTACCGTTTTGGGTCTTTGAAGTTCCTTCTCCTGAGACTGTCCATGCCCAGGATGCATGGGGCATCTGGGCCAGTCACAATGGGGTGCTTATGCCAGTCCTTCCCAGTCAGGCTCACTTCAGCTTCCACTAGGGTCAGCTGTTAGGATCCCCCTGTCACTCCGGAGATGCAGATGGATTCAACCCCACTGTAGCTCGATGGCATCAGGGTGCACTGTGCGCCAGTGTCCATCGAAGCCTTATATTTTTGTGGGTCTGATGTGCCAGGCCATCGGATCCACACTGTCCAGTAAATCCAATTATCCCTTTCTTCCTCCTGGCTGGAGGCATGGTCCCTCTAATCCTGCTCAACATCACTCACTTCTTGTAAGAATGATTTACTGGTCCCCTCAAGATGATCAGACATAACATTCACAATCCTATTCTCTCTGGGGGATTTCCGACTGGACACTGGAGCTGTGCTTGTCTTGGAGGACTCCTCTTTTGTGGTGGTCTTCCCTTTCAGCTGCTCTACTCATGCTGTCCATCCCACCTTCTCATGTTCTCTTCATGGTCGCGGAGGAAAAACCAGGGGGTGCCTCATGGTTTGTGCCTTCTACTGCCTTTCTCTTGGGTGGGGAAACTTTTACTTCCAGTGGCTGAGACATCAGCCCATGCAGGTCGAGTGTAGGACATGTCCTCTTCCATTTTCTGGACCCTCTGAGACAATTCCTCCACAGCTGAGACCCAGGAATGTGGAGATGAGGGGAGATTTCCCTCATATTGCTGGAGCTTGCCAAGCACTCTGTTCACTGTTAGAGTGTGGGTTTCTGTCTACCAGGACACTATTGCCAATTCTTTCGAGTGTGCTTTTGGTGTGCTCTTCAGGAACTTTCGCCACATCGGGTGTGTGCAAGGGGCCTGATCTGGGTCTATGGGTGAATGTTCTTTATTCAAATCACCATAGATCATGTCAAACACATCCAGTTCCCTGAGGTTCTGGATGCCTTTCTCAATGCTGGTCCATTTGCTTAGTTGACACAGGATACCATCCTTGTAGGGGCGCCTCTCCCTTACACTGAGCAGTAGTTGCTTCCAAAGGCTGTGGGTTTGAGTCTTTTTTCCGATTTCACTGTCAATGCCAGCATCCTTGGCCAAAGTTCCCAGATGCTTGGCCTCTCTCCCCTCCATTTCAAAAGCACTGGCTCCATTGTGCCAGCATCGGAGCAGCCAGGTGCAAATCTGTTCTCCTCCCAGACGGCCGAAATCTCTCTGCGTATCTCGCAGCTCAATCGGGGATAGAGATTGGACGATCACCTCTGGCCCTTCCTCCTGTTCCCGTGATGGACCTGGCTCATCCTCATCCCTCACTCTGCCAACTGACTTTTTGGTATATTTTGTTTTCTGTATCGGGGCGACTGATACCAGCGCTGGTTGGCTCTCTGGTTTATCTGCTGTTCTGGTGGAGACGACTGATACTGATTCTTCCTGTTCCCCCAGCCCAGATATTGTACCATTAAGTTCGTTCTCAGATCCTGCAGCCCTTTCTCCCCCTTCAGGGCAGTGGGTGGTACTAAAAAGGACACAGTAGGCATGGGTGAAGTCCCCAACACATCGCAGCGATTTGTGTCTCCTGGGTTTTGCCAGATTGCTAACACATGTTTTCTGAGCAGTCTGCCAGTTTATCAGGGCTCTGCATTTGTTTGGGATTGAAATTCCAAAGCACTGGAGGCGACCACCAACTCAGGCCTTTGCCTGTCTTTTCCCACACCCCTTGCCCCTCACTAATATCTGACCTCGGGGCAGGTTTTTGGGCCCTGCTATTGTTAGACAAATGCGGCATGGCCAAAACCGAAATCAGGCAGACATTCAGAAAGCATTGTGCCACGGTCACACTGGCCTGAAGGCTCCAAGGATACTTGAAACTCTCAAAAACCGAGAGGATCTCTTCCCCTGGCTCACCCATAGAGGGGGTGAGACCCCTAACAAAAGCCCAGGCAGCAAACAGGTACCAGCCCGCCCCC